ATACAAAGAGGCTTTTACACACAGACGCTTTTACACACAGACACTTTTACACACACGCTTTTACACAGACGCTTTTACACACAGACGCTTTTACACACAGACGCTTTTACACACAGACGATTTTACACACAGACGCTTTTACACACAGACACTTTTACACACAGACGCTTTTACACACAAACGCTTTTACACACGGCACTTTTACACACAGACACTTTTACACACAGACGCTTTTACACACAGACCCTTTTACACACAAACACTTCCACACACAGAAGCGTTTACACACAGACTCCTTTACACACAGACGCTTTTACACACAGAAGCTTTTACACACAGAAGATTTTACACAAAAACAAAACCTTCACACACAGACGCTTTTACACACAGAAGCTTTTACACACACGCCTTTACACACAGACGCTTTTACACACAGAACCTTTTACACACAGACGCTTTTACACACAGACGCTTTTACACACAGACACTTTTACACAACACTTTCACACACAGAGGCTTTTACACACAGAAGCTTTTACACACAGAGGCTTTTACACACAGAAGCTTTTACACACAGGCGCTTTTACACACAGATGCTTTTACACACAGACACTTTTACACACAGACACTTTGACACACAGACACTTTGACACACAGACGCTTTTACACACAGATGCTTTTACACACAGACACTTTTACACACAGAGGCTTTTACACACAGACACTTTTACACACAGACACTTTTACACAGACGAAAGCGTTGCGATTGACACTTTAAAATTGCAATTTTTCCTCAGTTTTTGACGTCCAACGTCCATTTCGTGCGAAAGGGTTGCGATTGACTAAGTAAAGTCGCAATTTGTCTTCAGTTTTTGACGTCCAACATCCATTTCGTGCGAAAGGGTTGCGATTGACCAAGTAAAATCGCATTTTTCCCCAGTTTTTGATGTCCAACGTCCATTTCGTGCGTAAGGGTTGCGATTGACTAAGTAAACTCGCAATTTTTCCTCAGTTTTTGACGTCCAACGTCCATTTCGTGCGAAAGGGTTGCCGGGGACGCTTCAAAGTCGCAATTTTTCCTCAGTTTTTGACGTCCAACGTCCATTTCGTGCGAAAGGGTTGCGATGGACACCTCAAAGTCGCAATTTTTCCGCAGTGTTTGACGTCCAACGTCCATTTCGTGCGAAAGGGTTGCGCCGGACGCTTCAAAGTCGCAATTTTTCTTCAGTTTTTGACGTCGAACGTCCATTTCGTGCGAAAGGCTTGCGATTGACCAAGTAAAATCGCATTTTTTCCTCAGTTTTTGACGTCCAACGTCCATTTCGTGCGAAAGGGTTGCGTTTCGTGGCGCTCCGAAGGCACCGCCGAAGAGCGAGAGGAGATCTGCAGATGCGAAGGTGTGAAGATGTAGATCTGCAGATGTGAGGGTGTGAAGATGTAGATCTGCAGATGTGAGGGTGTGAAGATCTAGATCTGCAGATGTGAATGTGTGAAGATCTAGATCTGCAGATGTGAGGGTGTGAAGATGTAGATCTGCAGATGTGAGGGTGTGAAGATCTAGATCTGCAGGTGTGAGGGTGTGAAGATCTAGATCTGCAGGCGTGAGGGTGTGAAGATCTAGATCTGCAGGTGTGAGGGTGTGAAGATTTAGATCTGCGGATGTGAGGGTGTGAAGATGTAGATCAGCAGATGTGAGGGTGTGAAGATGTAGATCTGCAGATGTGAGGGTGTGAAGATCTAGATCTGCAGATGTGAAGGTGTGAAGATCTAGATCTGCAGGTGTGAGGGTGTGAAGATCTAGATCTGCAGGTGTGAAGGTGTAAAGATCTAGATCTGCAGGTGTGAAGGTGTCAAGATGTAGATCTGCAGGTGTGAAGGTGTGAAGATGTAGATCAGCAGATGTGAAGGTGTGAAGATGTAGTATAACGGCTACTTTTTTACGAAGAACCCTTCGCAGGCGCTCTCGGGAAAAAAGACGATTTTGAAGCACTTTTTAAAAGGATTTTTAGAAGGAAAATCACTAGCGCCAAAATGGAGAAAATCTGCTGACAAATCACTGTCGCAGCCTTCATGCAGCCACTCCAAGACGATTTCCGAGATCCAGCTGCAAAAGACAATAGTATTACGAATGCAGCCACAGCACGAAGCAACCTTGACGCAGCCATTACAATATGCGATCTGCAGAGACTGAGTTGCAAACCGCAATCCCATTTACATTGCGGGAACGATCCTACAGTTGCAAAGCACAATGGAATTCCATCGGCAACTCATCCACCAGCACCACTTGCAATCCCATTTACATTGCGGGAACGATCCTACAATTGCAAATCACAATGGAATTCTGTCGACCGCACATGCACGAAAAACAGGTGAAACCCAATTTACAATGCGGAACCGATCCGACCATGATCCGAGCATGATCCGCCCATGATCCGACCACACACGAGACCGTCTCGCAAACGTCGCACCGCAGAGGTAGATCATCGAGGTTCGGGGACGGACTTTGTATAGAACTAGACGACGGATGGCCCGAGAGCGTAGAGGAGCAGGGTCTTCTCTTGTTAGTATGGAGACGCAATATTAGAAACGATATATGAAAGCTGTGTTATAGGCAGTCGAGAAGAGGAGTATCAAGACAAAATAGTGAGAAGTGCAAGACAATAGTTTGCATCGCAAACACTTTTACACAGAGACGCTTTTACACAGACGCTTTTACACACAAAGCTTTTACCCACAGAAGCTTTTACACACAGAAGCTTTTACAGACAGAAGCTTTTACATACAGAAGCTTTTACATACAGAAGCTTTTACACACAGACGCTTCTACACAGACACTTTTACACACAGAAGCCTTTACACACAGACACTTTTACACACAGACCCTTTTACACACAGGAGCTGCTTTTACACACAAACGCTTGTACACACAGAAGCTTTTACACACAATCACGTTTAAACAGATGCAATTTTACATACAGTCACTTTTACACACAAACTTCTTTACACAGAAACACTCGTACACACAAACCCGTTTACACACAAAGACTTTTACACACAGAAGGTTTTACACACAACACTTTTACACAGATGCACTTGTACACACAAACACTTTTGCACACAAACATCTTTACACAGAAACGCTCGTACACACAAACCCCTTTTCGTGCGAAAGGGTTACTCCAGCACACGAAAAATCGCAATTTTACCTCAGTTTTTGCCGATCGACCCTCATTTCGTGCGAAAGGGTTGCTCCGGGGCAAGTAAAATCGCAATTATACCTCCGATCGACCCTCATTTCGTGCGAAAGGGTTGCTCCGGGGCAAGTAAAATCGCAATTTTACCTCACTTTTTGCCGATCGACCCTCATTTCGTGCGAAAGGGTTGCTCCGGGGCAAGTAAAATCGCAATTTTACCTCAGTTTTTGCCGATCGACCTTCATTTCGTGCGAAAGGGTTGCTCCAGGACAAGTCAAATCGCACTTTTACCTCAGTTTTTGCCGATCGACCTTCATTTCGTGCGAAAAGGTTGCTCCAGGACAAGTCAAATCGCACTTTTACCTCAGTTTTTGCCGATCGACCCTCATTTCGTGCGAAAGGGTTGCTCCAGGACAAGTCATGATCGCAATTTTACTTCAGTTTTTGCCGATCGACCCTCATTTCGTGCGAAAGGTGCTCCAGGACAAGTCAAATCGCAATTTTACCTCAGTTTTTGCCGATCGACCCTCATTTCGTGCGAAAGGGTTGACGTTTCGTGACTCGCCGCCGGCACCACCCTCGGCCTTAAGAGAGAAAGATAAAAAGAAGGCGTGAGAGAGAAGGTGAGCAGGTGTGAAGATAAGAAGATGTGCAGATGTGAAGATGAGCAGATGTGAAGATGAGAAGATGTGAAGATGGGAAGGTGTGAAGATGAGCAGATGTGAAGATGAGCAGATGTGAAGATGAGCAGATGTGAAGATGAGCAGATGTGAAGATGAGACGATGTGAAGATGAGCAGATGTGAAGATGAGCAGATGTGAAGATGGATCTGAAGATGAGCAGATGTGAAGATGAGAAGATGTGAAGCAGATGTGAAGATGAGCAGATGTGAAGATGAGCAGATGTGAAGATGAGCAGATGTGAAGATGAGAAGATGTGAAGATGGGAAGGTGTGAAGATGAGCAGATGTGAAGATGGGAAGGTGTGAAGATGAGCAGATGTGAAGATGAGCAGATGTGAAGATGAGAAGGTGTGAAGATGGGCAGGTGTGAAGCAGATGTGAAGATGAGAGGATGTGAAGATAAGAGGATGTAAAGATGAAAAGATGTGAAGATGAGAGGATGTGAAGATGAGATGTGAAAATGAGTGAGAGGACGTGAAGATGAGATGTGAAGATGAGAGGATGTAAAGATGAAAAGATGTGAAGATGAGAGGGTGTGAAGATGAGATGTGAAGATGAGAGGATGTGAAGATGAGATGTGAAGATGAGAAGATGTGAAGATGAGAAGATGTTTTACAGACCCCCACTATTGGAAGAACCCTGCGCTCAGACGCTCTCGGGAAAAAACCTTCTGAGCCGTCGCAATAAACCCTCTGGCATTCCCCGTCGCAAAAAACCCTTCTAGCATTGCACCGTGGCCAAAAACCCCGGTTACCGTCGCAAAAAACCCGAAACCCGATCCAAAGCGATAGAAGGGGGCCTTTTCCGTTTGTTTGGCATTGTGCCCTGCAAAATGCTCATGATCTGTGTTGCGGCCATTTTTTTCCGCCAAACACCCAATGATTTGGATTGTTTGAAAAACATAATGTGCGAAGTAGGTGCAAAACACATCCTAGCCGCATTAGATTGCATGATTGCTTAGGTCTTTAGGATCACATGTTGGGTTGCAGAAACCATCATCTTTAATCAGTTTGTCATGTGCAAAATGGTTGCTTGGCATGTTGGGGTGCGACAAACCAGCAAAGACCGAAGGTGCACACACACACAAAGTCAGGAGGGTTCAGTTCACGCCATGGTACATTCAAATGGATGGAACGCTTGAATCCAATGGGTTGCCTTTTCGGGGCGTTCTGGAAAATCTACCAACTGATCTTCTCATTGGATGGACTGCATCTCGGTCCATCTTTATGCGTGTTGAGACCATCTTGACATTTGGAATCACCTACATCATGTCATGGTGGGAACCTTGGTCATTTCTTCAAACATTGCTCTGTAAGGTGCATTACCATGATGCATATTCTGCACCCACTCGTGCGCAAGATTTGGTGTCCCTTCCCCAGGCCTTGGATTGTTGCATATGATGTTACAGAATCATCAACATGGATCACTGTACATTCCAGGGGGTCAAACATGTGCGCTGGTTGCCCAGGGCAACAATGTGCTGGTAGCTGCTACAAATGCAGATTCAGATGATGCAGGAACTTCATTGTGGTGGGAGTGGAATTTGGGACATGCTTTGGTTTGTATTTTCTTATTGCATCAAACGTTCTAAATGCATCAAAATTAATCGAATGCGTCAACGAATTAGTGGTTGTTTATCAAGAATTGGAATTGAAAATAAGGAATTGAACTTGCGTGTTATTGCTGCCTTGCTGTGGCCTTGGACAGGACTCAATTTGGATGTTTCTGCTTGTGGCAAAAGCGACGCTGTGACAACCCTTTGCGCACGTTGGCAGACGACAGCTCACAACGGAGTGTGCCTTGTCAATGCTGAACTGCTGCAGTTTGCTGTTTGCCGAAACCCTTCCAAATTGCAAATCATAAGTATATGTGACGGTCTGACGGAATTATCAAAAAAATTGATCTCACATGATTTCATGATCCCACCTTCTTTACCATATTACCTGCCTTAACTTGTCAATCCTCATCACCTACATCTCATCCATATATCCCTGTGAGGCTTTGGTACTTGGAACCGGGAAAGGCCTTCGGCTTCGCCGACCGGAGCGAGTTGCGCACCGACCGGCGTCGCGGAGCGGATACCGCAGAGGGTCAGCTGCGCGTCAGTTGGCATTTGGATGGCCATGGAGGTCATCGATGGGGGAGCTGCTGATGGTATCTGATGGTAAATCGCCATGCTTATTAGGTAAATGATTATTCTCAGTGAGCCATTTTCCATAGCTATGTTGCAATTTCTGAGGGTAAACCCTCAATTTCTGGGGACAAAAAGATCATATTCCTTCCCAGAGCGATTCAAGATGGCCATCTATATCAGTGTATTGGCGCATGCTGCCTCTGCCTCCATTTCTTGGAAAAGAATCTGATCATCAAAGTCCTCATTGCTTTCAATACCGAGCCATGACTTGAAGTACAAAGCTTACTGCATCATGATGCATCATGAATCATGCTCTTTGAAGCTTCTTTGTGTTCGATCGTTTTGTGAGATTACATATATATATATAGGGGATACAAAATGACCACAACCATTTCGACAGGAGTTGCAACCATTTTTTTGATATCAACCATCCTAAAGTCCTGAAGGCCTTGCAATGCCAGAAGTTGTCCCCGTTTTTGTCAGCAGCAACTGCCCTTCCCAGTGTTGATCCTCTATATCGGTTTGGTATAATTGTCCGCCTCACTGTAATTGGGATATCCTATCTTTGCACTACAAGCTGGAACCACATCTTGTTGCATTGATTTGGCAAGACTTTCGGGCTATAGACCAACAATGTTTCAGACTCCCCGTGGTAAATTCCGGGATCACATTGGTGGTCCATGCCACTGTTTTGATCACAGGGGTCCATAGTGCCCACGTGGAGGATATCGTGCGGGTTCTTTGGAGTGCCTCAACCACGACAACTCCTGGCGCAAATTGGTTTTCCGCTGGGAGCCCGAACAAAACAAACAAAACGAAAGCATCTCGAAAGGATCATCTGTCACATTGCCTGTCTTGCAATTCTTACAATTCACATTGCAGATTCTCAGATGCATAGAATTTCTGTGAATTTCCTGGGGAAACTTTGAAGCTTTTGGAGGGAACAGTCAGATATCATGGCAGTGTCAGAGCCGCTTCAGGCCGGGACATTGGGCCCTCAGCCACATGGCCGGGACGCTCAATTGGCTATTTCTAATATTCTTTGAGGGTTGGTTGGTAGCTGGTACCCAGGGCCAGGTTGAAGGGGCATGAGCTTATGTCTCCGCTTGTGGCAATATCAGGCTGTTGGGGATTTCACACACTTCATGCTTTGAATATCTTTGATTGCTGTCATACCATTTTCCCCCTTTGACAGCGTTACGAGTGTGAATTTACCATTGAGGCTGCTGCCATCCGCGCCTGGCTGGGAAGGCCTTTGAAGCGAAAATATAGGGTGCTTTTTATTTTTTTCGAGTTTCATGAAAACAATCAACTTCGAGAATGTCGCGAAGACAACGCCTCGATCCGACGTATCTGACAAATCTTTCTTGTATCATAGATCCAATGAACCGGGAGGATGTGATTGAGACAATATGACCCCGAATGAAAAGATTACATTCTTGGATCTTCTTCGATCATCTTCGATCCGTCTTGACGATCCTGTGTTTCGATCATCTTCGATGTGTCTTGAGACGTTGTGTTGAGGTGCTGGAGACCCTGGCATTGTTTTTGGTGCAAACATCACCCTTCGCGGCTCGGATGGCTCCTGCCAGGCGAGACATGTGGGTCTACTAGGTTGCCAGACACTACGCTTTCTCTTTGCTACAGTACATTTTTTGCATTGTTTTCTTTCAATGCAAGTGATGTCAGTGGCAGATTTCTGCCAACAGTGTCAAGTCATCCTGGGGTGCAGGTGCTTCATTCGTGCCTCCTCCGCTGCCGATGCTCTGCACTGCATAGGAGAGAGGTGTTTGTATCGTATTCATACACCCTCCTATTTGATGAAGAGTTTGTCGTGTTTAGTGTTTAGGTTTGATTCGATCATAAGTGGAAGTGGTAGTCAGCTTGTGGCTTCAGACATTTGCATTAGCAATATTCACACTAAGATTGTCTCACTTTTTTGCGTACCAGGAGGATTGGAGCAGACGCAGAAGTCGACATACCAGGCAAAACTTGAATTTCACTCTTTAATTTTGGCGGCTTTAGCGTCCATCACAAGAGTTGGAAGTTCAGCATTACAGGTGCCTCGGCCAGAAGTCTACGAGACCTTGCTGCCTACATCTATGGTGCCCTGCTGCCATGGGAATATTCAGCACGTCTGGAGCCAAAGGTGAGGTGCCCAGTCCCTGCTGAGATGCCCTGGATAAGTCCTATTTGCACTGAGAAATAATCAAATATACAACATATTGACATATTATAGTTCTTGACAATATATGATATAACTGATATACATATCATATTGTATGTATGTATGTATGTAATGTAATGTAATGTAATGTAATGTAATGTAATGTAATGTATGTATGTATGTATGTATGTAATGTAATGTAATGTAATGTAATGTAATGTAATGTAATGTAATGTAATGTAATGTAATGTAATGTAATGTAATGTAATGTATGTATGTATGTATGTATGTATGTATATATATATATTATATCACGAAAGCTAGCTTCTGATAGCTGAAGTCCCTCTTGCTTTAGCAAGGTAGGGGCTGGAACCTCCAACCGTGTGAAACTTCTCAGTTAACTACCCCCCCTAGATTTCCCTACATCTCATCCTCAACTTTGGTTTTGCTTTGCGTAACTTTTTCCCGCGATTCCAAAGGTCCACTCCGATGAAGGTGGACCTTTGAATCTTCCCCAATCACTGGTCATCATGTTGGATATGCTGAATTTCCTCATCCTCTTCATGCAACTGTACAAAATGATATGTTCTCATCCTCGTCCCCTCCAACATACATCGCCTCAATACAAAGGTCTGGATGTTCAACTTACCAACACGCCCCAGCTTCAGACCCGCTCGTCCACGTTGACGAAAAAGCTGCGCAGCTGCGCTGTACCCTTTGTGTTTTCATCCCACGCTCCCTACCAAGCTAGCTTTCGTTCCTTACCCCTGGGCCTCAAGAAAATTTCCCATATATATATATTATATATATGTATATATATGCATACATACTAATGTTATATCAAAAGTGTACAGTATCACCCTCTGTTGTGTCCATTAGGTTCCCCTAGTGCTCTTTTTGGGCCTTGCACCGTGACATACCGTGACCCAGGAACTGCTGCCACGCGTGCTGGAGCTCATGGATGCAGCGAAATTTATGGTGTCTGGGAATGGGATATGGAGACATATGGAGACAGTGGAATTTAGGGTACCCTCTCTTTCTCTCTCTCTCTCTATATATGTACATATATATATACACATATTTATAGTTTTATAATGTTTAGAATCTAGAATATGTTGATGGAGAAGATTTGGTGGGATGAGATCACGCACATCTTTCGGTGGTTAGTAAAGCACAACTTACTGCAATGCACTGATGGGCATAGCAGATTTGCTGTCGTGGAAAAAAACAAAACGAATCAATAGATTCAATAGTTTCCTTCGTCCTTCCATGATTCCATGATGTTTCAAAAATATTGGGGCAACTTCTTGCGTCATTTCAAGCAGGGACACTTCTCAGGGAATTGCCCTTCAGGTTGAGTGGGCAAACACTCACAAAACACAGACGTTTTGTCTGCCAGTCATCGCTCCACGATAGCATGGGGATGAATGATGTTTGTCCAAAACACTACAAACTCGGTGCACGGGCGGACTAGATAGCATATAATATTGATGCTCAGGTGCGACACAGTTCCATCGGTAGACAGACGCAGCATATGCTGCGCTTTGGCACGAAAAAGGTTCAACAGGCCGAAATTGAACGACATGAGGCAAGACAAGTAAGAGGACGCATCACAGGTTAGTAACAGGGTAACAACTAATTCTATTACAACCCAGTTACTGTATATTTCCCCAGTAATATATATATATAGGTTATTAAGCACTTGCTAACTGCTATGCACCCCAATTACTCCTTTCCGCTCTTTTTGGGACCCCTTCGCACTGGTTTTAGAAGGACAGTCGGCGACAGTCGGATAGTGATGTTGCGAGGAGCTAGATGCCCTGCAGAGAATTTGTGCTGCATGGTGCAAGCTAGCGGCGAAGGTGCGTTGCTTTTTTGTTTTCTAGATCATGGGTTTCCTCAAGTCAAGTCAAGTGCAAGTCCCGACTTTTTGGGTCTGTTTCTTGGTATTGCTAGGAGCTGGTAGTGTTGATGAACTGTGCCTAGCAAGATTTTACCATCTCATTTCTTCATTTGCTGCCATTGTGCACTTCAACTTTGGGATAGTTACTGGAGTTACAAAATCCGACGAGACAACGTTCAATCATCAATCGATCAACTTTCCCCTTGATTTGGGCGGCTGACATGCTATTTCAGAGCTGAGTCATGTTTGCATTCCGCATCATGATACGTAACTTCCTGGTGTTTGTTCATATCCCAAGAGTTTCAAGAGGCATTTTGGCATATCTTGACGCCTGAGATATCTCGTGGTCTGTGTGGCGCGTTTCTCTAGGCTGACGCGTTGCCACTCTCATGCGGAGCTGATCCGGTGCGGATGGATGGACTGGCGCAGGGGATGGTGGTTGGAAGTGGTCTACCTGGAGCAGTGCTGGAGGCTCAGGGACCTGGGATGACCTGGGGGTGATGGCAGCCATGGCAGCCTTTGCGTTGTATGAGGAGTATGCTGGGTATGAGCTCAGGGAATTCCTTCAGAGTAAGGGAGGTCGTGATGTACATGTGTTTCCGATTGCTTCTGGGAACGACGTCCACCACAGCTCCTGTCATGAAGGCACGGCATGGACTTCCATCAATCCCATCTCCGTTCATGGCACGTTTGGCATGCTTTCACCTATACTTATCAAACACCCTTGATGTGTTTGATGGAGTCAGAGCCCCCGCAGCTCGTCGTAACCTTGGTTGCAAATGACCCCATCACTAAGTTTATCTACGACTAAATCCCACTTCAAGCCTCACAATTCCTGTACCATCTGTATCCATTTGCAATGCCATCCATGTAGTGGAGTATCTACAACCCCATTTATTGGGCCCCATCAATCCGCTGTTTCCCCTGTCAGGACGATATGGCCAGACTGCTTGAAGAGTTGGAGGATGCTTCCTACATGGAGGACAAAGTCACCGTGGCCAAGCTGCAAATGACAATGGATAAAAAAAGGAGAAGCAAAGGCCCACAGATTTGGCTGTTTTGAGTATATAACAGATCCAATTTGGGAGCCAGTACCGTTTGGCGGTGTGCCAAAGCCTTGGAGACCGCTCCAATCCTTGATGGTCAAGATACATCTCCGGCAGAGGTGGATCTCAATAGCAACCATTGAGTCTGAGTTTTTGAAAGAAGAACCAGTTTTTTTTTTCATCTTTTTTTTTCGTCCCCCATTGCCAGACATTTGTATTCTGGTTGACAGAAAGGCCTCTCCACTTGCTCTCTCTGTTGAGGTGATCCTAGCAAGGTCTGACCACCAAGAAGCAGCCTCATGCAGTACGGCTCCTTAGAACAGTCATGGAAGCACCTTCTAGACAGGATCTTACAAGATCTTTTCACAAGAACCTCCTAAGAGCATCCCACAAGAGCTTTCACACGAGCAACCCTAAAACACGGCATCTTCAAGATCTTCCCGCAAAGACCTATCTTCTCACAAGGACCTCTTCCAGGTCTTGGTGGATATCTTCGTACAAGGAGTAAAGAGCGCACTATGAGACTTGCGCAAGATCGTCAGACGAGGACCTTCTAGAGAACTCAAAAGATATTTTTTCCAGGATCTCAGAGAATTAGCTAAAATGAGCACTGCGACTCAACGAGAGCCATCCAAGGCGCACCAAGTGACAAGAGGTTGTACGGGCAACATGAAGATCAGCACTGCGCCACGACAAGAGCGATGTAACACACACACAAAGTGACCAGAGGGTTGCACAAGCGATATCAAAATGAAAACCGCGCCACAACGAGAGCGATTCTATACAAGGACAAAGTGACAAAAGGTTGGGAGCCATATCAAAATGAGCACGGCGCCACACTGAGACTCACAAATTCAACATCTGAAGCGACCTTCACGTCACAGTTCCAGTACGATTTACGACTTTGGAAAAGGTATTGCTCGTGCCACGAAAATATGAAGACGGGGCATCCGAAGTCTTGCAGCTGCCATGCAAACTGATCTGAACATAGCGAACCCAAAAGTGTCCGATGTCCTGTGCCTGCCACACAAAACAAAGTCTTGACCCTCCAAAAGTGCACTTGCCACGAGAAATGTGCACACTTCCAAAAACGGACAGGGCACGGAGGGCTATAAGGCACCTACGCAAGAAGGGTCTCCTGGCGTGTTTTTGTGCGAGACTTCGTGCAAAAATTCCTGTGCTGTATAAGGGTTGCCAAATTAGCCGGACACGGAACAATGGATGAAAACCATTTGATTAAAATTGCATTCAGCCACCATTAGATCGCCTTCATCTAGATATTTATAATTATATATATATATATATATGTCTGGGACCTGATTTTGCCGTCTAGCACAGTGGACGCAGAATTCGACTGCTAGGCCGCCACGACATCGTCCCTGTGTGCCTAAGGAAAAAATATAGTTTCTTTATACATATATATATATACATATATATATATATACATATATATATATATACATATATATATATATATACATATATATATATTATAATACAATATATACACACGCTATTCAAACATATTTATACTATATATTCCCATATGGGTTGTCTTGTACCCCCAATCAATCCCCAGATCGCACGGAAGCTTTGCTGAGGCGCCCATGGCCTCGTGCTCTGCGCGCGCAGCGCTTTCTTCGCCGCAGCGATGGCCTCTGCAGACGGGCGCTTCGTGGAGCGCGGCCGACGCCGCGTGCAGCTGGGCATCGTGGAGGACGGCTGGGACGGGGGAAATCGTGGAATGTGGACATTTGTCGACAACCCACAGGTCCGCACAGTATGTTTCTTACTTGGTAGGTTCAAATTTGGGGTTTCAACTAGCTTGGTGGATAGAAGGTGAGCGGGCACGTGTTCGAAGTCTCGCACGAAAACAGGCATAGGAGACCTCTCTTGCCTAGGTGCATTATCGCGTCCGTGCCCTGTCCGTTTTTGGAGGTAAATAAACGTGTTCGCGGCAAGTGCAAGAGACTCGGTTTTGCACTAATTATATCTAAATTATCTAATTACGCTACACTACACTAATTACACAACAACAACAACAACTACTACTACTACCACAGCTACAACAACAATATCAACTACACCACATTGAACTACACTGCACTAATTACATTGCAGTACGCTACAGCTACAAATACAAATGCAACTACAACTACACTACATTGCACAACACTACACTACACTACACTACACTACAGTACACTACACTAATTACACTACATTACGCTACAACTACAACTGCAACTGCAACCACACTTGTAACTACCACTAAATTGCACTACACGACGCTACACCAATTACACTACACCACACTACAACTACAACTCCACTACCTTACGCTACACTAGACTACACTACACTATGCCACACTTCAGTACACAACACTAAAGTACACTACAATACAGTACACTACAATACACTACACTAATTACACCACACCACAACTACAACTACAACTGCAACTACACCACACTTATTACACATTACAACTACAACTCCACTACACCATACTACAACTACAACTACAACTGCGCTACACCACACTTCATCCAACAGTGGTGGGTGAGGTGACCACTGCAACCATTGCAACCAGTCCAAAAAACACAACTTCAACCTTTCGGTCCATGAGTGGATTCGCTTTGCCATCCGTGATTCACAACAACCAACTTCTCCTATAGGTTTCCTATTTTTGAAACTTCCGCCACCGCCTTGCGAGGCACCACTGGTGTGAGGCCAAAACATTCCATCCCAATTTTTTTTGGGCTGGTGAAACCTTGTTGCAAACAAAACCATGGGAAATCCATGCAATGTTCGCTGCTAAAGGATCTGGGCCTCTGGCGCCCCGGCGAAGATTCCAGCTACGTCTCCGGTGCCTTCCGCGCCCTGCTGCACCACATCTACACCGGGCGTCGCCAAGTGGAAGTTGGTGGCCTCAAGGGGCAGAGTTGAGCCGTGCTGTTGGGGGATGCCAAACACGGCCAAATGAGCCTCAATTTTCTGATTTCACTATGAGTTTCTGGTGTTTTTTGATGATTTATGATGATTTTGGGTGATTTATGGTGATTTGATTTGCGATGATTTATGTGTAAAAACACGGAGGTTGTTGACAGATCGAAGAGATACAGTAACACGTGTTTCTGCAGGGTAAGGTCAACAGGATTGAAGGAGTGAAAAACAACATAAAACAACAGCGTTTTAATTTGAACTAGTGAATACTCCGAGAGTTCAGCAAACTTCCAGGTTGTTGCATTTTGTCTTGTTAGGATCGAGTTTCTTTGTGGGCCAAAAACAATTGATGTCAATTTACTGTGTCTTTTCCAAGTGTGCGTGATCGTGAGGAGAGTTCTAGATCGATCAGAGTGTATTTGCATCGAAAGACCTTGACGCGCCTGTCTCTGTTCAGGATTGCTCCGTAAAAAATCAAAAGGGCATCCAACAAGAGTATGACAAAAACATGAAGAACAACAATTTGCTCACACGAATTTCCGATCTTTCACTCAAACCAGCCCGCAATCTATCAGCAGAGTGGATTAACGACTTTGAAAAGGTTTCTATCGCTCAAGTTCACACGGCAAATGGAATCCACAACATTTCTATATATAGCATCAGGTCACTTTCTGCCATGGCCACGGGATGAGGAAGTCAGTTGCTCGCAATGCGATTGCTGAGAACTGCTCCCAGCACTTGGATTTGATTGATGAGGACAAATCGGGTGATTTGGATGCCGCAGAAGTAGAAACCCTCCTTGCAGCCATGGGAATTACCGGCCCTGAGCGGCAGAAGATCTTGGTGGCATCGCTCAATGGGAATCAAAACACCACTGAGGAGAGAGTCACGGAGGCAATTCTGATCCATGCAGACATTAAAGAAAGCAAACTTCAGGTGATGTTGGGAAGGGTTGCACTCTTTGGCAAAGTTTTCCGCTGGCTGGATTTTGATGGTGACGGGACCCTCTGCTTGCCTGAAGTCCTCCGAATGATGGAGTTGCTGAATATCGACCTGAAATTGGCGGCAGATTTAATGGCCTTTTTGGATACCGATGATTCCGGTGAAATCACCTGGCAGGAATTCGTCCGCGGAATTTGCACGGATGAATTCTCAGTACTTTTTCCACAGATCACCCTGGAAGCTCTCGTCGAGCTTCCGTCAAGCTTGCAGCAGAATAAGCTCGTCAGTGCAGAAGAAGAGAGACAGGCCATCGCAGAATTACCCAGCATTGAGAAGTCCTTGTACTGGGTCATGTCCATCATGTACGGTTCAGCAGCCGAAAAGCTTGACAAAGAGAACAGCTTTGACTTAGACCTCACAGAGATTCCCGCTCGTTTCAAAGCGTCCAAAGATGCAGCAACCGACACGGCTACGGACAGTCCCACCATTCCTGGAAGTCCAACCAACGCCAAGGTTGCTTGGGAACCAGCTCAGCCCAAGGATGACCTACAGATCACTGAGGTCACACATCCGCATGCCATGGCAGCCATGGCAGATGTTCATTGTCTTGTTGTTCGCAGAGAGCATCGAACTGCTACACCCGTCCGCCCTGCCATTATCCATCCCAAGCTTCCTGATGAAGACATTAGCACGCATCCACATGCCATGTCTGTAGCTGATGTTCGTTGTCTTGTTGTCCGCAGAGAACCTCGAAATCCTACAGCGGTCCGGCCGGCAATTATTCATCCCAAGCTTCCTGATGAGCAGACCCACACACATATGCAGGGTGTTCGTTGTTTCGTTGTCCGAAAAGAGCCTCGAACTGCTACAGCGGTCCGCCCTGCAGTTATTCATGCCAAGCTTCCTGATGCCGAGCTTCAGTGGGTTCAATTCCCAGAGGCTCAAAAACCCAGAACTCCAAACATACCCGAGGCGATGCCCTGCATGGAAATCGAGCCTGAAAAGCCTCAGGAAAAGCAACGGAAGATCAGTAATAGCAGTTATGGCCAAGCTGCTGCTGTACTTAGCTCCGCCCTCTCTGGCTTGAGTGGTGTTGCAACTGGTGTTGCCAATGGTTTGGCATCTGCTTTTGGACTCCCTTCCAAGGATAGCAACAAAAGGCCTCGGATGTCCGTGGCAGAAGCAGCGAATGTGATCAAATCCATGACGGTCAAGAAGGCTGGTAAGGCACATGTTCTGAATGAACAAAAACGTCGGAGCCTTTGGCGTTGCAGGTATGCAGCGATTTTAACTGGAGTGTTAGCTGGGGTGGGTGCAGCCTTTCTAGCACAGCTTCTGAATGACTACACTTCAACACTTGTTGATGAAGATGAAGACTACATCATGTGGAATGTGGTTGCAGGTTCGTTCTCCTTGTTGTGGTCCCTAGCCGAAATGATTGTTTGCTGTATTGCTGCACTGGTGGCTACAGTCAGAATGACTCGAATATGTGGCATGATACTGGTACCGATGGACAAGGAGCGTGCAATGTTAGCCGGATCTTTGGCTCGCTCTGCTTTGGAACTGGGGCATCCCAAAGTACGCACCTTCGGAATTGATCCTTACAAACGAGCCAACAAATACCTGCTGCTGATTTATGCCCTGATCTATATGGGAAGTCGTGGTATTACCAAATTTATCGCCAAATTGCTCATGAAGAAGGTGGCACCCAGGACTCTCCTGAAAGTCACGAAGTTTGCTCCGCTTTTAGTGGAGGTTTTGATCAATGTGCTCTTCAATTCAGTGACTGTAAACTATGCCATGAACGAAGTCATGATTTGCTCCCTTGGACCTTCTGCGACAATTGAGGTCACGAGCCAGCTGATTAAAGCTCGTCGACACTCCGAAAATGTTGAAGAGCCTCTGTCCGATGAGGTGAAACTCTTGGCTTTACGAGCCGTTGGTGTTTCCATTACCTATAAGATGCAACTGCATCCCAACTCACGTTTTCTCTTGAACCACATTGTGGGTCTTTTTGCAGATCAGAGCTTTGTAAAGAGGGCCAAGGAAGAGTATTTTGAGCTGAAAGGTGGCCTTGCTGTTCAGCGTACAAAGAGTACAAAGAGTCATCGTTCGCATGCCTCTCAGCAATCTAGGAGCCGAAAGGCTTGTTGTTTCTGTTCCAGAAAGGTTGCAGAAGTACCAGCGGAGACCTTGCACGAAGAGCTCGCAGATTTGGGACTCGATGAAGAAGATCTTTTCTTTGATGGCTTGACAGGCAGGGGCAAGGGATGGCCCCACGGGATGTTACGGAGAGTAAGCGGGGATTAGGCTGTCATCTAGCCTAACTGATAAAATGGTGATAAAAAAATAGAGGGTAACTGATAAAATGATAAAAATAGATAACCATGTGGATATTCAGGTTTCTACTGCCCTGTGAAGAACTTGAAGAGCTGCCGGGATTTGTTTTGTCTGAAACAATTCCAAACAGGGTTCCTTATCTCAGATGTCGGGGTCTGTGTATCCTCTGTGTAGATCATCTGTCAATGTAAGATCCCCATTTAGTAAACATGGTCAGATCATCTTTAGATGGGTATGATATACAGTATGATATACAGTATAAAATAGTATAAACACCAATCTACAAATGCCTTTTTCCAATTTTTCCCTCAAAATCTGGGAGATTTTCAGATTTTCCACCAAGTTTTCCCTTTGAACCGATTGTGGCCAGGCCTCAGTCACCGAGATGCCCTTTTCGCCTGCTCCATGCTGGTCCTGGCGTTGATGCTGGATGGGCGCATCAGCCGGGCCGACTGGAAATTCATTCAGCGCGCGGCCGGAAGCGCCCGGCCGCCCTTGGAGGCCAAGTGGTCCAGCACCGTTTATTTGGTCAATATGCAGCTTGGTGAAACAGAAAATGGCATGAGAATGGCACAGAAAACCTTGGGAAAGCATCCCAAAAATGGGGAGGTTATCATTTGTTTTTCCAAAAGTAAAAGCAATTTGGCCTATCTATCATTTTGCATTGTGACTTTGTGTGGCGACTGGGAGTTGTGAGCCTGTTGCATACCTGGTACTAGGGATAGCCTGTTTGCTGTGATCCACTGTCGCAGCAGAAAGGGCAATCAATCGATGAAAGTATGAACTTAAATTACTTACATGACAGGCATGTCATTCTTGTGGGGGCATAGTTTCATTGAGGGTATAGCTGAGACGCGCGACTGCCAAAAGAACTTTGTGCAAGCAGGTGAGCTGAACTTTTGCAGTCCAGATCTAGGTGCTGAAGCCTGACGTTGCTATATCAGAATACTATGTTTTACCAAAGTGTGGAAAAATGCAGTCGAAGTATTCCCACCAAGACATGTTGAGTGGTGATGTCCACACACACACACACTCACTCAGACACATATTTCTTTCCACATTTCACATTTGCAACATATTTTTTTCCACATTTGCATCTAGTGCATCACCATCAAGATGTATGTATGTTTTCATTTCCGCGGCAAGTTCCAAGGTACAACAGTGGCAGACAGATGAATGCAGTGACTTGGACTGGCGTCAAGTGTGAGTTTTTCGCTTCGTCAACACCTCTGCCAATGCATGCTATCAGCTCTTCATGTTTGTTTTGTATTTTGCCTTGCCTACTTTGAACGAAAGAATAGAAGGACACGTCCACTTTTGTAGATTATGATAGCTGCCATGGTTGGCTATCAACGTACAATGGTTGTATGATTCGATAGAGAAACTCCAAGAAATGATTGATGCGACCTGACCGGTAAATTTCGGTGGACTAAGGAAATGTTTCACCAGATCTTTGAGACATCCAAGGGGGCAGACGGCATTGGCGCCGCAAGCTGTTGCGATTATGTCACAGATGTGATGCGCACCATCTTGGAGTACACAAACTGCTGCTGAAGTCCTGGGAGGTCGAAACTATCATCGTATTGGGTCCTATCGTCCAGGAAGTCACGTCTCAGCATGTTTCAACCACCGTCTTCAAGTGATGTAAACAACAGTACCAATTATATTTACCAAACGTAGAAGTACTGTAGTCTTACTTTCAGAACATGCTTTGAATACTTTAGTTTGATCATGTTTAATAATATTTAATAAAACAAAGCTTGTTTCAGCCATGATCCTGGTTTCACATTTGTTTTACATTTGTCTTCCCATGTTTTACCCACCTTCCCATGCGACCCAGACGCAGCACTCTGCGTAGCTCCCTTACTTTGAACGGAAGGGACGAAAGTCCTTGCTGTACAGGATCCGTGAAGCGCCTGTGCTCAGCAAGCATTTAAGATTCCATTTGGGTTTGTCCAGAAATCATGTGTACCTCAAACGGATTCTAGTTCTGTGGGAGAATATATTGGAAAATGATGATCAGTGATCAGACCTGTGATTTTACGTATTTGGTCTATTTCATTTTTGAGCAAACCCATTTTTAACTATTCTAGACATACCAGTGAGCGTTGGAGGGATCCATCGTGGCAATTTCCGATGGTTAACCACCTCAAACGAGGTGTCGAGATCAATTCCAAACGAAGAATCTGTCTTTGCAAAGCGGCACTGTGGATTTCTGTTGCAGCTGGTAGCTTTCAGCTTTAGAATCTTTCTGGCATGCCAAAGTGGGTTTTAGTGGCTGGAGTGGCCAAGCTTGGAAGCTGAGGCACGGTTTGCTATTGACTTGTTGGCCCTCCTGCAAGGCCGGGTCCCAAATTCCGTGATGATCTCATCAATTTTGATGGTCCCAAAATCCATTTGCACCGATTTTCCTCATATTCCAAGATTGCAGTGATGCAGTGATTGCAGTGATTGCAGTGATTGCAGTAGCCAGTGGTGTCTTCCACTCCTACCCCTAAGTCATAGCTGGTGAATGGATGTTTATTGCCCTGGAGGTTTCCTAAAATAGATCAATGTTCGTATCATTTTCCAAACCATCCAGCTATTGGGGTACAATTTTCCATTAGAAACCATCCAGCTATTTTTTGGTACCCCCATTTTCGGGTTTACCCCAATGGAAAATCATTATTATATAATCATTATTAATCACTATTCAATTGGGGTTTCAATCACTATTCACTATTAAATCATTATTAATCATTATTAATCACTATTATATAAATCATTATTCTATCACTATTTTCGGAAATCACCATCTGGTAATTTCATAACTTGACCAACGCGCAGTGCCGCAGGCGACTTCCTTCAGCTCAGCGGATCTGATGAGCTGGCTGCGGTCTGCGAAACTGCTGCGCTGGAGGCCTCCCTTGAGGCTGGAGACGCCATGATGGAAAGCACAACATATATTACAGTAAAGTATATATATATATAATATAGCAAAGTATGTAGTATGTATATATATATATATATATAGTAAAGTATATATATACATATACATACACGTATATATATATATGATATATTAGATATGAGTCATTATATTTTATGTATTACTCTGGATTAATTATACATATGTATATTACACATCATTGCTTACAATCGCAATAGCCATAATCATAGCCATCATTCTGCACATTGTGCACTGCAACATGGTGTGACCATCACTGCAGGAGATGGCAGAGGTAATCTCCAGAGCTCATCTGGTTGGATTTGTGGACCTGACGAAGGACAGAATGGGCATGCCTTTAGCTTCTTCTTCATTACAGTACATTCACACACGTGTATGATTATGTATGTATGGTCTGTATGTATATCAATATATATATATACACATTTATGGTACATTTTTCTGGTTAGCGGGACAACATGACGCAGCCAAAACCAGCATGGGCACCAGGCCAGGTGACTGCTTTGCTGACGTGGTGTTCGGCTACGCATGGAGTGTTGTGCTCAAGAAAGTCGAAACATACATGGTTGAACACAATTTGACAGACAAATTGCCGGCTGCTACTGCACCCACATTCTTTGCAGCTGCACACACAGAAATGCACTGCGAACAGCCAGAATATGTCTTCATTGGTCCTACGTGGATGGACGATTTGGCACTATGTGTGGAGGGTAGTAGCCCGCAACAGCTTGAGAGCAGAATGGGCAGTGTGGCCAGCTTCCTCTTGGACTCATGCAAACAACACATGATGACACCAAATCTTGCTCGTGGCAAAACTGAATTACTCATGGTATTCAGAGGTGCGGGATCGAGAAGATTCACTACCAAGCACTATGGCCCTGCCGCATCAGAAACCTTTCCAGTGCTTTGTGATGAGGGAGTGCATCATATTCAAATCGTGAAAAGGTATCGCCATTTGGGCGGTTGGCTGCATCACAAGCCTGATCAGCGTGTTGAAATCAGGCAAAAGGGGGCTTTAGCTCATGAAGCCTTCAGCAGACACCGAAAGGTCCTTTTTGCGAATCAGCAGCTGCCTTTGTCCAAGCGAGCAGAATTGTTCACTACGTTGGTTTTGACCAAAATGCTCTATGGTGCGGACTCGTGGACCATGTCCACCAACAAGGACAAGGAGAAGCTCCATGCAGTGATCATGCGTTTGTACAAGCGACTCATTGGCTGGACACCTGACATGGACATGAGTGATGAAATGATCATTGTCCAGACAGGCCTTCCAAGTCCTACAGAGCTTTTGCGGCGTGCTCGCTTGCGCTATCTTCTTGTCTTGCTCAATTGTGATATGCCCCTGATTTGGAGCTTGCTCAATGATGATTTGGAATGGAAAAAACTTATTGAAGATGACTTGAGCTGGATGTGGCGACAACTCAGACACAGCTCCGGACTGCTTGATCCAAGTATGCATTTGCCACAGTGGCTCCTCATCATTCAAGACAACAAATCTTACTGGAAGCGTCTGGTAAACAGAGCTTGTCAGCATGCCATCCTTCAGAGAAAAAAGGAAGTTGAAGTTTGTGAGCTACATCGACGCCTTTTTGATCGAGCAATCAACTGTTTTGGCTTTCCAAAACCACCACACATTGTCCATGCGGATACTGCAGAGGAGACGCAGAAATTTGGATGCCTTACATGTCGGATTGCGTGCAGATCAAAAGCAGGCGAAGGAGCACACATGTTCCGCAAGCACAACATTGTGGCGAAATGCCGCCAATGGTATGATGAACCCTCTTGTCCTTCGTGTTTGAAGTTCTTTCATACAATGGCCAAAATGAAAGCACACCTCTACTACTCACGCACATGCAGACAGCGATTGATCAGCAGCAACATGCGCTGCCTGACTGTGCCGGGAACGGGGTCAGATGCAGATAGACACAGAGAAGAAGTTCACGATTTCATGCTGCCACCTTTGAAAGGAGAAGGACCACAGCTTCCTCTTGCGCATCCTCGTGAAGATCCATGCATTGATGATGCGTTGTTTCTACATCTTGTTGAGATCATTGACGAAAGGTTTTCCCTCTCGCAACTTTGTGAATCTCTCTGCGAGTATGTGAAGGTCCATCCTATGTCATGGACTATGTGGAAGACGACAATCCGGTTCTTCATGGACACTTTTGAAGATGATGACGCAGCGTTCTTTCAGTATGACCTCATGGAACTTCGTGCATTCTTTGAGTGATTCATGCAAACCTCAATGTGGTCCTTCCTTCACGTGGATGGTTTTGCTGTGGAGGAGCACCAGACCAAGACGATTGAAGCATGTCATGATCAATGTCAATGGTTTTTGGAACATGCCGGAGTTCATGAACCTCGTGTGCCGCAGACCTTTGGGAGACATCGATATGTCCTACATGCCTTCAGTGGAAGACGCCGAGTAGGGGATCTACAGTTTTTCCTTGAAAGGGCCGCAGAAGGAGACACCCCATATGTGCTTCACATCATCTCCCTTGACATCATTGTGGACAAGAATTGGGGCAACGTTGCACAGGCCGAGACAAGGAAATTTTGGCTGGATGCAATTCGGTCTCGCTGGGTGATCGCTTTCGTAGGCGGTCCCCCTTGCGAAACATGGTCAAGGGTGCGCTCAGTCAGTGATGGTACGACAAGTTCCACCGGGCCACGTGTATTACGCGATGGCGATTTTCTCTGGGGCTATGAGAGTGTTGGGCCCAAGGAGATCCAACAACTCCTTGTTGGTAATACCTTGCTTGGTTTCTCAATGGAGGCCATGACTGAGATTGCGGGGGTTGATGGCATGGGCATCCTTGAACATCCTGCAGAACCTGACGACCTTCCTCTAGCGGCATCAATTTGGATATTACCGTTGATGAAATGGATCTTGAGCCTCCCGGGAGCTCAAAAACTTCGGTTCTCTCAAGGGCTCATGGGAGCACCATCGCCGAAACCTACGGATCTTCTCCTCATCAACATGACCCACTTGCTGCCTCATTTGCATGCATGTAGAGTCAGAGTCGAACTTCCGCACGGTAGGGCCTTAGGAAAAAATGAGCACGGCCACTGGCGCACAGCAATTTTGAAGGAGTATCCACCTTCATTATGCTTGGCATTTGCCAGGGCAATTTTGCAGGGCACAGACCAACGTGCTGTGTCCTTATACGAACAGGAGCCATCACCAGGCTTCATGGCTACTTGCCGCCCCATGGAATGCACAGAATTTGGGCGAGACATAGGCCATGATTTTGCAGGTTGATGGGCTCAGATTTGAATTCATTCATGCGCAGCCGCGGCGTGAGCCTCTATGTGCGGGAGCCAAAAATACACATTTATAAATCATTCCTAGGCGGAGTTCGATTACCAAGTGTTTTCAAGTCGTTTTCCCTGACAGAATAGGAGTTGCTTCTGCGCATGGCTGCAGCGCTGCAGAATGCTGAGGTGCTGGGATTGAGGATCCCAAGAGGCTTTTGCGTGGCCTTGATGGCACGATCATCTTATTGAGCTATCAATTGATATGATGCGCAATGATTTTCCAGAAATTGGATTTCAAGTTGCCAATTGGCATGAAATGACCTAGTCAAACTAGTCAGCCTTTTATCTTGACAAATCTCGGCCCCGAATCAGAAAAATGTAAATTGGCTGAAATTTGCCAGTTGTCACAGTTCCATGGGCTTAATTAGAAATCAACTTCCAACACTTGGGGATGGGTCAATAGCATCAAAAATGGCGCAATTTGAGACCATGTTGCCACTGGTATGTATTCATTTCAGAGACCAGTTCACATATTTATATAATGTGTGGCCGCCACGTCAAGATAATAATATTTATATAATGTTCTAACATGTTGCTCCTGTTTTTTTTTTATGGCGCCCAGCAATCGCAGGCCACCCGTGCTGTGTGTGCATCCTTGCCACAAGAACTGCTGTTGGAGCTGCTGGCATTGGTGGTGGAACGGCAGAACAAAGATGGGTTTTGAGACGGCTGGTCCTTGGTGGTACCAGTGGTTGGAGATTCATAGGCTGTACCCTCTGGTGAAGTAACATAGCTATTGAAAATGGCCATAGAAATAGTGGATTTTCCCATTAAAAATGGTGATTTTCCATTGCTATGTTAGTTCACCAGAGGGTACATCAGATATCATCAGATAGCTTGATATTTAGCCTTTCATGACTTTGGACCACTTGGACCTTTCAGAAATAGCTATGTCCTGGGGGATACGCCACGGCCCTTACGGTAAGTTTTGGAAAACGCGGGGGCAACTTTCTGTCTGAAGATGGGTTCCAGTCCCACTTAGGTTTGTCTGAAGATGGGCACACCCCAGATCCACAGGTTAATCATCATTATCCATATCTGGCCATTTGGACGGTATATCCCGGTATATCGGTACCGGTATATCTCACTGACAAACATACATCGTGCTTGGGCGGCTCTGTTGCTTTACAAAAAACACATAAAATTGCCACCAACACCTTCCTTTGATGCTGCCATTGGCTCCGCTCTTTGTCAAAGTCCGGGTGGCAGACCGCCGTACCTTGGCGATGGGGTTCTGTTTTCCTGCTACGGAAGCTATGGCAGGAGGTTGTTATTTTGTAAAAATTGCAGAAAACGTTGGAATTTCTAAATCTAGATTTTTGGCTGAGGGAAGTGCAGATGAGAATGTGCAGTAACGTGTCCCCTACATGTTCAGTAGCATTTGCTTCACATTGGATTTTCGAAGCTTGAGACAGGTCAGAGATCCATGTATTCACACCTCCAGCTCAAGACTGTTGCATTAGATCCATCTGTAGCCATTTCCATCCTTCCGGGGAAGTTAGAGTAGGTAGAGGTGTAATAGAATTAATAGAAAAAAAAGGTAGAAATAGAGGTAGTACCAGAATCACAGAAGACGAATGTATCTCAACGTATGAACGTGACAAAGCATACACAACAAATGTGCAGACAGGTTGGAATCCATTCGGTTGTTGACAGAGATTATTACATGTTCTGTGGAAATCCTATATCTGATTCAACGGTCACAACAGTTCCCTCTACACATTCATACAAAGGTCTTCAATGTGCAAAAGTGCTAACGTTGTCAAAGGTTGCATTTCTGCATGTCCACGCAGTTCCTGTCACTTCCATGAGGTTGTGATGTCAAGTGCTTTATTGATGCTATTGGAGGCTTGGCAGTCAGTGCTAACGTGGCCATGAAGTGGCTGATTGACATCTGATGTTTTCAGTAATTCATCTTAGTATTTCACCCTGCGACACAGTTTGTCACATTGCAAGATACAAAGTATGGTAGTAGATGAATGGGGTAGAAGATACATCTATCATCTACACATGATATCTTGAATCAGTATCATGATGTTGGGCAATGACTTCGGGTGTTTCACTGTGCAATTCAGATCAGCTACGAAGGCAGTTTGAGATGCTTCACGAACCACGCAACGGCTACATGGAGAAGGATACTGGGTGTGTAACACGCCAGGCTTCATAGGAGCCACCAAGGCAACAGTTTCGAGGCTTCGCAGGTTGTGGAGAATAAAGTAGATCGACTTTTGATATGCTGCAGGGGTGGTACAGATTCTCGGGCTTTTGAAGTTTTTTTCAGACAATCTGGAAATCAAAAGTGTGGAGGATGTGACCTCCCTTCTGCCCAATTTCTTCACAGATGATTGGCGAGACGATTGGGGAGGCTCGCTCTCTCTCTCTCTCTCTCTCTTTCTCTCTCTGTTCAAACTGTTCAAACACAAGATTCGGAATAGCATGTGATACTAGGAAGAGCATATGGAAGGGAGTGTAATCTTGGAAGTCTAGAGAAGACAGCTTGCACAATGAGCTGTTGTTTGGCATGGATTTGCATTGCAAACGCCCCGATCTCCACAGCAGCCAATCATTTCCCGATCGTTTTGCTTATTCAAGGGCCTTTCCCTTTTTTGGCATGAGTTTTTATCCATACATGTACATATACATGTGCATACATATATATATATACATATTACTGTATACATTATTATACAGTATACATTTATTCTTACCGGAACTTCAATGGAATCATTGTGGATGACTTGAGGGTGTAACCACTGGCCACGCCATATCGGACAGCTCTGCTCCGAGGTGACCGCTCTTGGAATCCGTTAGAGCACCTCGGCGCAGCGTCAATGGGACGGGGCGCCATGGATAGCGCAGGTAATTCAACATTACATGGTTTTTGTACACGGTCTTTGCAATCATTTTGTTTCCTCTGTGTTTTTTTTTTCAACATTTCTGTGTAATGCTATGTTTTGGGCCTGAGTTTTTTGAGCCGAAGGAACGTGCTACCAATGTGTCTTTGAGAGACAAGGGCATTGGCTGAGTCCAACAAGTCGTACCGATATAATTCTGTCTTTTCATGCACGTCTTCTGAGTTAGTTTGCCAGAAGAGGCAGCGCAGATAATACATCTGCAGGTGTCGATAGACACACCATGTCTAACTCAACCAGTTTATTGACATGGACCTTTTCAATCTATGGGGGTATCCCAAAATCATCCATTTTAAATCACTAATAATCCATTTTGATATGATTTTCTATGACAAAAACAATCCAGCTATTGGGGTACCCCCATGCGCTCCAGGCCCCGATCCTTCTCAGGGCTCGGAACTGAGCAAGCACTTCGAAGTGTTGAACAAGCAAGAAATGGGGGTAAAACATGGTAAACCAAGCAAATTATTGGAGATATATGGGATATGATATTTATGGGAATTGTATTCAACCATTTTCAAGACTATAAAAATTCGGTTTGTCTGAAATTGTGGTATCAACCTCACTTTATGGCCATTTGTATGGGGGAACTGACAATAAACCATCAAAATTGGAGAAACCCAATACCCAGACAAAACCGAATGGAAACGTCTTGGCAGCTAAGATCCAACCTGAGGTTACCACCTCCGATACAGCCGACATCTCAGAGTTGTTTCGTGGGTGGGAAGCAAGGCCAATCAGTTGCCGAGATTAATCACAATCTGGTCTAGGTTTGGTACAAAGTTTCTGTTGTGAGCCATGGATGGCGTTATCCAGCTTTTCTTTGAGGCCACCGAAGGAATGGAATGAACGGGCTGAAAGAACACCAAGCCCCTTACGACGCATGGATTGGTGGGCCGCGGCATGTTTTCAGCAGACTCATGGATTCCCAGAGGAATGTGTTTGGCTCACCCGCTGCGTCAGTCATCAGTTCATTGGCATGTCAGTTTCAACCCAGGAAATGATGCTTAGTGAAGTCTTAGTGAAGAGTTTTGGGCGAAATGAGTTCATCAATGTTCATCCATGTTCATCAATGTTCATCAATGTTAATCATATCCAATATATTCAGGTATTTTGATTTGATCATCCGAGCCTCATGCCACAGGGCTGAGTCCTTCGTCGGCACCTCCGGCCGCGGCCGCATGGAGGTGCTTGCAAGTTGTTGCCCGGAAAACCAGTGACTCAATAAACTTGGTGTTTATCCTCAAAACGAATGTAGTATCATAACATGGGATATTAATATAGTGTAGGTTAGAGATGTTTATAAGCCACTATAAACATCTATAAACTACACTATATCCCATGTTTGGGTGTGCCTTGTTTTAGCATATCTTTAGTTGGGGATTATGATTTTGATGATGGGGACAAGCACGTACGTCATTTCCTGTGAAGTGTGTCGGTAAAAATCAGTATATATATATTACAGTATATATATACTGTAATATATTACAGTATATATATAACAGTATATATATATTACAGTATATATATATATTACAGTATATATATATATATTACAGTATATATATATTACAGTATATATATATTACAATATATAATATTACAGTATATATATATATTACAGTATCTATATTACAGTATCTATATTACAGTATATAATATATATATATATATGGTTGACATATATTGACTATCAAAGCGTTTAGGGTTCCTAGAGGCAGAAGCAAAAGTCTGGCCACATGTTGTGTATACTGTACTGGACTTGTTGGTCATCCCGTTATTCCCTATTACTCATCAGACATCACACTGCCAAAAGGTCCCAGACGTTGGAATCATCGGCCAAGCTGCCCACCTCTTAGCTGTGGACCCTGCATGGGATGTGGTTCATTTGAAATAGACATCCTGCAGAAGATCCTGCTCAGAGAAATCATGCCCACAAGTCTATAAAAAGCAGAAAAAAAGCAGAAAAAAATCTGTGACGACTATTGTTTTCTTGCTGCCAGGGTTGACATGCCTTCTGACAGGCATAGCTTGGGATTTCTGAAGTTCAAACATGTTCTGTGACGATGAGTTCCAGGTTGGTGCCGACCGCCGGGCTGGACAAGGTCATCCGTTTCGACGCAGGGCAGAGGGCATTGAGGGCCGTTGACGGCTATCAGTCTTGACATTTCGCCATCTTATGAGGTGAGTGTGTGCAAGAGTTTTCATTGACACTCAACACCTTGATTGACATGTTCGTTTGCAAAGGGGAAACCGATGAGGGTCCCAAAGTTTTCGTGCATCCCGAGTAGCAGATTAAGTGAACCGAAGATTTCGGCACAGCGAGTGCTGCTTTGCTTTCAGCATAGAGATTGCTGCAGCATCTGCAGCCACATTTGCACTGAATCAGCATATCTTTCCGTTCTTGCAACATTGCAAAGATGTCCTGGCAAAACACACAGAAAGTCCTTTTTCTTGGTGTGTCAGAGTCTTCAGAAGATCAACTGCTTGAAACCCGTTGGATTGAGCTTCCATGCCATCCCTCCTGCCGCTGGGGCCAGCGGCCACTGCGGGGCCCGCCCGGCCCACTGGGATTCCGTCCCTATGCGGCTCGACGAAGCTGCCATGCGGTTCTGTTGAGAGCAGGCACGGTGAACGTCCAGGATTCTGCTGTTGCTGTGATCAGGCAATTTGCCCGACACCTTGGAAGAAACAGCATATTTGACCATATTTGTATGGTCTTTTTGAAGTTAAAGAGTTAATCCCAATGATCAATGGTTAAATCCCATTACCCCCATTGTAAACCCAGGGGGTTCCCCCAAAAAAAGAAGGCGGACTGCCCTGCTGGCCACGGCACTGGTGCTACGACGGTGCTGGAGGCGGGGTTCAAGCTGTGGATCTTTGGGGATCCCGGTGACTAAAACTACAACAACGAAGGATATCAAAGGATGTACCCTCTGGTAATGACTAACATAGCTATTGAAAATGGTGGATTTATAGTGGATTTACCCATTGAAAATATGGTGGTTTTCCATAGTTTGTTGTATGTTTACCAGAGGGTTAAATAGTAGGTGATTTTCCGCTGTTCAATACTGACCAATTCTCTGTCTGGAAAAGCCTCAAAGACTTGAAGATAAGTGAAGATGATCATGAGACTCACCACTTCCCGGCAGCTTGTTTTTTTTGGCAGCGACGATCATGAAGTCCTCAAGACATCCACGGTCACCTGTGGATTGAGATGAGGTTGAGCAAACCTTCGCGCCGAGAGGCAGCTGACTAACGGTTTCGTGTTCTCCATGCGGCGTCATTCCCAAAATCATGCGGTCAGCAATGCGGCTCGTGACGCTTGGGATTGAACTTGCTGGCGTTCTTCCGGGATATGTTCTTCCCACATTGACCTGGCCCAATCAGGTCTTCATTTGGCCACTCCTGATGTGTGGTCCACCGGCAAGGGCAGAGGTGACATTGGCCGCCACTCAGCTTTGATACTGAATGGGTTTTAATAATTTGTAATAGGGAAGATTATGATTTACCAGTCGATTTGGGGGTACCTCACATACAGACAAACCCGCTGACGTGCGGTTGCCCAGGATGTTTCCAAAGGCATCATGGGCGGCGATCGGGATGTCTACTACCCATCCTGGTTCCTGGGTGAATGGGAGGTGCGCTGCCAATTACAGGTGCGAAGGAGGGACCTCTATTACTATTGAAGATAATATATAGATGGGTTTGCCTGAAAACAGGGCACCACAAAAATTTAATGATCGATCATTATTCTCGCCGTTAAAGTAGCCATTTGGGGGCTAAAACGGTATACCCTTTTTTAAGACACACCAAGCATGGTGCCCCAGGATACACAAGAGTTGTCTGGGAAAGCTGGGTTTTCAACGGCTGCCACTGCAATATGGGATGACCATGAGAGGCATATATGATATATGATATATGAATATATATATATATGATATATGAATATATATATATACACATGAATATATATATATATGAATATATGTATATATATATATTGAGAATTCAATAGGGGATATCAGCCCTACACCTAGACACCCTGTCTATCCGCAAGCCAGTCTGTTTCCTTTTCCACCCAAAGTCCCGATCCCACCCACCTCGACCTAGAGCCATGCATGTGGCACGGCAAGACCGGCGAGTTGAGGTTGCATGTCATGCATGAGTCCAATGGTGTCCACAGGTGTCCCAAGAAGTCAGCACTGATGAAATGGATGATCTCATGTGGCCAAAATCACATTCGTCAAAATCTCAAAATTTTGAAACTTTTGTTTCCATGTTCTGCATGAGATCATGTGCTGGCTTCTGCACCTTGGCCTCCTGCTCTGACAGCCACTTCAAACGCTCACGCTTATCGGCTCTTTGTCGCAGAATGTCCAATTCATCAAACATTGAGTACTTCTTAAGTGCCAATGCTTTTCTAAGAGTACCCCCATCCATGACTTTTGTCAGACAGTCTGCAAGCATGGCCTGACTACAGACCCAACGGAGTTTGCAATTCTCAGTCAATCTTTCCCTAATCAATAGACACTCCAGTGTTGTCCGGAACTCTTCACACACCGGTGTTGATGTCTTTGTTGACAAATCGAAAACTGATTTGCAATCCGTTGCAATTGATGCCAGCGGAGACTCTTTGAGCACTTCGGTGGGATTGGTCCAGTCAATGCTTGGGTCCAGAAGCCATGACCAAAGCAAACGCAACCAACTCAGCCTATCCAAGGTACTGCTAAGTGCTGATGCCTCAGCACTGAGTGTACTTCTTATGACACGAGGGATTTTCCGGCTGGACCAAGCTATTGGACAAATCACTGCCAATTTGTTCTCGGCCATTCGAGAATCTGTCGTGAAAATGATGGTACCCTGTCGCGAGGCCGTTCCTTTCTTTGTCTCAAAGGAAGCATCAGAAAAGGCACAAAATGAAACCTGACTCTCAGGTATTGGAACAATGACAAGGTTTACATGATTTTTCTTGGCCTCGAACAGAGTGCGATTCGCATCGAGGAGATCCTCTATGCATGCTTTTGGAATCAGTGATTGGAGAATACCCACCTTGGCGCTTATGTCAGGCCTGGTTTGGACCGCAGCGTATTGAAGAGAGCCACACAGCTGGCGGAAGACTTGTCTTTCCGTTTCTGTCACTGGTGACTGAGGCTCCTTTCTACGATGTCGACAGACTTGGATCGGGTCTATTCTTTCGATATACTTCTTTTGACACATCTCAATACTTCCATCCCTCCATTGACGATAGTGGATACCACAGAAGTCAAATTCCCCAGTATTAAATGCCCCAAACGAGTATTTTCCCCGCAACTGCTCTATGACACTCATGAAGTAGTCATCTCCGCCCCCGATCCCGTCGTCCACATGTATGCCTAGCACACCACGCACCCAAGGTCGGCCTTGTGAGTCTTGTGTCACAAGCGAGAAGACACAGCCATCCAGTGGACAAACCATGAACCCCAAACTTTCCAGGGTCTCCCTAAATGATTGATACCAAAGATAGGGTGCATCGATACGCCCATAGGCTCCCCCTTCCAAACCGCATTGGTCCATGGCTGTCATTTTCAGGGCCGCTGCAATCTCAGGTGGTGGGTGTATCCCAAGTGGTCTCCCGTCCCCGGCTCCTTTCAGAAAAGCTGTTGAAACATCAAAATTAATCAGAGTCCAGCCACAGCTGGCAACCTTGTGCAAAACCAACTGCTTTCCATCCTTGCTCAACGTTGGAGCATCGTTCGGGACTGAAGAGATGTCTGGGTCTTCAAATCCCAGAATCACCAGTCGTGCCTTGGCACGTTTTTCTACCGTGCCTGGCAACGGATCTTTCCAGGTCAAAATCCACCTGCACCGCATGATCCGATTTTCGGGTAAAGCCCCTTTTGCTAGTTTTCTTACAGTTCCATGGTCAATCCAAGCCTGTACCTCCTTCGCCTTTGCCTTTCGAAACAACTCCCTCTCAGCTTGGTCTAATGTTTTCCATTGGACTTCAACCCTTTGTTTCTTTGCGGTGGTGGCTACAAGAATGCATTCAGCCAAGTTGCCATCTACCACACCCTCTTCGAGAGGCATCTCAGGAGACTCCATTAAAGTGATTTCCCATACCCCAGAAGTTGTTGGTGGTCCCTCAAAATCATCCCCGAAAACAGCAAGTGAGTCATCGTTCTCATCATCGGACATTGGTACTGGAACTCCGAGACCCCCTAAATCCCCACTTATAGGTACACCATCTGGATTGTTTACTTCGGGGTCTCCCATTTCGGGGTTTCCACCCAACTGACTTTCCGGGGGAGAAGCTTCATCTTCGGGTTGTTCGCTATCTAGATCAATGATGGGAGTTGGGGCAAGAGAGGGCTCATATTCATCATCACCTTCATTGGAACCAACAGTTGGAGGAAATTCATCCAGTTCTACATAGTTCCGAGTCCTAGTGGATACCCGTTCATCCCTTACATGACCATGCTCATCCCTAGGTAACGCATGATACTCTCTCATGGATGCAGGCCTCAAGTGTTGGGGACTGGCACGAATCAGGTATCCCCCATGACTCAACCACACAACTCGGGCTTTCTCAATGGTGATGACCTGAGCCGGACCATACCAGCGGCCTCTCTCATGTCTTATGTAGCCCCTTACCCTCTTCCAGTAGAGGACCCAGTCTCCCGCTTCAAATTCGACCGCTCCTGGTCGACTCCTCCGGAGGAGCGCACGCCGGCAAGAGCTGTCATTGTCCGCCCTGATGAAGGCTCGCCTTGCCTGCTCCCTACGCTCTAGACTAGCTCTGAAGCGCACTCCCTCTGGGGTTGAGCTCTCAGCCAAGAGGTGAGCTCCTGCCTGGGAGTCGGCGGTCAGCGAAGCCGGCAGAGCTCGGGCTTTGCCCAGAAGCGCCTGCTCTGGAGTGAAGCCTTTGGCTCTTGACAGGGAATTCTTTGCAGAAAAAGCTTGCCTCAAACACTGCTTAAACTCTTCCCCATCCTTTATTGGGTTTTCCTGGTCCATACGAGTCAACATATCCTTGATGATCCTACCATGTATCTCAGCCCTGCCAATTTGCCAGTGGCTTTCCCCGGCAGCCATGACTACCTGGATGTTTTCTTGCTGCAACCGATCATTCCATTTGGGGTTTACATACTCTCCAGCAGGATCAAGATACAAAGTTTTGCACGGACCAGCCCAATGCAGCCAAACATCCTCAAACACCCTAATCTGCTCTTCAACAGTTCTGCCGCTTGGTGCGCCAAGATGGAAAAGGGTGCCCTCATCGATAAAATGCATAAAGTGGAATGTTTGTCCCATCTTTGACTTCCAGTAAGCCCCATCAGCCCCTACTACGTCGTTGAAATCCAAATCATCATGAATCGATGAAGGATGAGGCAACTTTGGTTTCTTCTGGGTTTCAAGACAAACATCACACTGCATATCTAGAGCACCTTGCACCACAGTTGGCTCGGCACCCTGTTCGAGGAGGAGACGCTGATGTCTCGCTGGATCTGGATGGCCCAAATTACGATGCAATCGGACCAAATCGGTTCTCTGCTGTGCACTAAGTGCTCTAAAAGCGGGCCCATGCCTCGGAACAATTTTCGGGGCCCATCCAGGAACCAACGCTTCTGCTTCGGGCTGGCTTTCTTCTACTGTTTTCTGTTGAGAATTGGCCAGAACCGTCATTGAACTTGGAACAGAGGATCCCTCTTGTTGGGTGATAGGCGCATGCATCTCAACATCAGACATTTCTTGAGATTCCACACCAGGTCCATCCAAAAGACACCTTTTCCCAAAAACACTGATGGAAATCTTTGCAGGGACTGCCTTTCTCACCTGTTTGGCCTTTGAGAGTTGCTGCCATTCTTCAAAATCACCCAAATCTTGGACCTCACCGCTTTGCCGATGGACAACCACAGTTTTACGAAGGGGGATATCATCCCGAATGATGTCATTCTTTGGAACTCGGTACCTTTCGGTGCCCCGACACAAGAGGACAAATTGGATGTTGATTTGTGGATATTGCTCTTGAAGTTGAACAACCCGGGGGTCATCCCTCCAAAAGTATGCCGCACCAACCCTTGGAACATCCCTTTCAAAACTGGTGATTACCCCTTTCCAATCCACCACATGAGCTCCAGTTGAAGAATCTTCATCCATGTCCTCAGGGAACGGAGGACTCTTTGTCCCATGTCGCCGCCGACACCGCCGCATTTCCAAAACTTCTTGTGCCACTGGTCGCTTGGTCCCCTTTGAAAGTTCTTCTCCAACCAACAATTCTTCGAGGATTAAAGGTTTTTCTCCCATCCCCAAACTCTTGATAATGCCCTGGACCACTTTCCGTGCAAAAACCGCAGTATAGGCAGCAGCATAGGCAGATACTTTCACCCATGGTTCACCTGGTGCCTTTACACTACCTTTGATCTGCTGATGTTCATGATCCCTAGGACATCGTTGATTGTGAAGCAGTCCATGAACTATCCTACTTGTGGTAAGGACTTGACTTTGTTTCCTCAAAAATTTGTCTGTGTAGGGACCCCGGAGTTTACCAGCTTGGCACATGTCGAAGTATGCGGGAAGGGTACCTGTATGGACATCATACAACTGCGGTTGCTTAATCATGTCTGACCCTCTGGGTTGCTCCAAGTGAAAGTGACGTCCATTTGAGACCTGGAAAAGATAAAGTTGGTTACACAATTCTAAATGGCAAATGTCACCTTGCCTACCTTGCATGATCATGTTTCTGGTGGTAACACTTCGACCCATGTTGAACTTTGAGAAGGATCCCCAAAACTTACACTCAGGTGCAACCCATATGTGTTCGGGTTCATACATCATTACCCAAGACCAGAGTTTGTTGATCCCTTCTGGGGTTGTCAGATCACCATGCAAACGTGTAAACCGAAGTGCAATCCCTCCCATTCTTTTCATTTGTTGTGTCAGTTGGGACTCCTTTTCACAGTATACTTCTAAGAGAACAACAGGCCGACTCTGGTTAGTGGGCTTTTGGGGTTCCAAGACATTGGCCTTTTGCCTGATTTGATTAAAGTCTTTCTCGATCACCCCAACGAATTGATCAATCTGGGCCTGCAGCCCTTGAACTTGAGCCTCACTCAGAAGTGCTGGTGCACGTTTCAGATGTCCTCTTCCTCCGGAATCTGTGTCTCTCGCGCCAGCTCCCTCTGAAGGAGGGCAATCTGTGTCTGGATCTGTTGCACTCGCTCGGCATTCTGTTCCACGGTCATCTTGGTCTTGTTGGGCTGCTCCCAATCGGATGTGGTCCGCTTGGATGCCTGAGTCTTCTTGGCATTGGCGGACGATGCTCCTGTCTTGGTGATCACTTCCCACCCTTTTTCGGCCTTTCCCTGAGGTGCCGAAGGTCGAGTGGTTGTCGGTGACTTCGATGACTGCCCCGATCCTGCCGATGATGGCAGAATGGGAATCTGATTCAGTGTTTCGTACTTCTGCCGGGCAATCACGTAGTTCTGTAGATTCCTCAGCCACGGTGACACCGCTTTGCGGTTTCGGATCTGGAAAATGTAACAGGGATGATTGTTGTACACCTCCGCAAATGTCTGTCCCTGTTGAACTCCCGAGGGGATCTTGGTCTCGCCCCACTGCTGCAGATTCGTGATCCCTGGTGGGACTTTGTACTGCCGATCGGGTGCATCCATGTACACTCGATCTGATTGGAGACCTGGGTCTTCGTCCCCTGACAGATCCTGTACCAGATATGAGGACTTCGTCTCCTTTGAGCTTCCCATTGCTTTGCACACTCTGGTCGGTCGGAGATGGTGTAGATGGCAACTCAACTTGAGCCTGTACTTTCGCAGAAATCGCGGTGTGACATGACTCTACGTGAGGTGAATCCTGTACAATGAATTGAGATTGAGTGGACATGCATGTTCGAGGTGGGATATTGGACCGTTCTACTTTTTCATTTGTCATGTCTCCCTTTTCCTTGTGATTAACCTCTTGTTGATAAATCTCTTCTACATGCTTCCAATCAGTCTCATTACTTGGTATGTTCAGCAAATCAACGACCCCAACGCAAAGCAGATTTTTCCTACAAGTTTTGAGGGCAACTGTTTTGGAATTTCCCAGGAATCTCAATACCTTGTTTCGGGGATCAATCATGACTCCAAGTTCTTTCATGATTGCATTAGATACCAAGAACGGGGTGCGACCCTGCACAACTTCCACTCGGATCCAGCCCTTTTGGCGCCGTGGAATGCACAGTGCGTACATGCTCTGAAGGGTGCCACTGTTGCCGAATCGAAAATTTACCGATGAAGCCATCTTCTTAATGGGGGTTCTAACGTTCCCAGACAAAGCTTCTAAAAGGCCCTGGACCCTTTCACTGCCAATCACTGACCTACTGGCACCAGTATCTATGACGGCTTCTCCGGCACACTCTTCAGACATTAAAATCACGGCTGGAGAAAACAGGCTAGTGTCTTCGGAGTCTTCTGGCTCTGAAGTTCGAGTGGGCTCTGCGGTCGGTGCCAACTTCACGGCATGTCCATGCTTCCTACAGCATTTTGATAAAGCACTTTGAAGCAACCCCTTGAAAACTTGATTGGTGGACTTAAACTTTGTCAAGATACCTGTTGATACTGCCAAACCATTTGATTTTGACCCCTCAAAATTTTGAACATCGCCGTCAATCATGAAACAGTCTTCAACTTCACAAACCCCTGAGGCATCATGAGGTGTCAAAATCCCTGAGTTTTGGCCTAACGTGCCTAAGTCCTCGGCAGATTCTGGGAGCTCGTCGATCAACTCCATGGCAGGCATCTGATCCTCGTGATCTTCGGGATGGGCAAAGAGCGCCTCTGCGATGGAGATGGTCTCCGTGGTGCCCTTGCCCTTGTTGTCCCCCTTGGTGAGGTTGAGGGGGCACTCCCGCTTCCAATGCCCAAATTGTCCACATTTCCTGCAGGCTGATGAGGCAATTCGATCTGCTAAAGATCGGAACTTGGTGCCCTTGGACCCCATCTTTCCTTTCTTCCCCTTGCCCTTGCTGGCACCTGGACCACTCATCGGCCAGAAGCCCCTGATTCGTGCTCGTTCCCTGAGTCTTGTTCTGGCCTCAAGGTACGTTGCATAACAGCTCGCAAGCTCTGGAGACTCCTGAGCAACTTCGATGAGCGTCTCCTCAAAGTCATTGATGAAGATTGCATCCTCATCTCCCTCATCATACATGACTTGGAAGACGGTGTCCTCATCGCGGCCATCGTTCTCCGAGAGGACCATTGCTGTCTCTTCTGATGCACCATCGGTGATGTTGATGTCATAGGTCTTTTTGTTCGGCTTCACCCCTTGGAGCTCCTGGAAGAATTTGGCTCCCAACAGTCGAAGGGCTTTCCGAGCATTTTCGTAGGAGAGGTCACCCTTGTTCTCCAGGATGATGCGTTTGCGGTCCTCAGAGCTCAGCTGTGACTGTCGCAGCAACACGTAGGCTCGAATCTCCTCCATGGGCACCTTGTGAGATGCAAGGTCTTCGAATGCCACATCGTGGCGTGCCAGATAGCTGTCATTCGTTTCATCACTTCGCTGGATTGTCTGGTAGATCGCCTTCTCGAAGTAGGCCAGCTTTTCTTCACTAGCTAATTTGCCCCACTGGCCGCCCAAAGCCTCTACCAGGTATTGGACTCCCCCTTCACTCCGCAAAGTCTGAGGGTCAAGGCGAGCCACTTTCTGAAAGGCCACCCCTTCCACCTGCAAGGCCGCTCTGGGTGCCAATTGCGACACATGTTCTGGTGGCCAAATGGCCTTCAGAAACTGCAGTTTCCTGCTGTACACCTGAATGTCTGTCTCCTGCGGATTGAAGGAGGGGATCTGCTGCCACGGCAACTGGCTCGCGGGAAGGCTGCTAGTTCCCGCTGCTTCCGCAGGTATGGCCGATCTGGCCGGTTCGGCACCGTTTCCGGTTCCATCCATGGCTCACGTGGTCAGTGTTTGACCTCCTTTAGGCTGGTGCAGTTTGTTGGACTTGCAATGTTTTGAATTTGAGAGAGGTCCTAGGAACCCTGATGCACAAAACCCCTATTTAAGGCACCCTGCCTACCTTAGGGAATTTGGAGCTTTACCTGCGGCAGCTTGAGCTCCGCTACCAATGAGAATTCAATAGGGGATATCAGCCCTACACCTAGACACCCTGTCTATCCGCAAGCCAGTCTGTTTCCTTTTCCACTCAAAGTCCCGATCCCACCCACCTCGACCTAGAGCCATGCATGTGGCACGGCAAGACCGGCGAGTTGAGGTTGCATGTCATGCATGAGTCCAATGGTGTCCACAGGTGTCCCAAGAAGTCAGCACTGATGAAGTGGATGATCTCATGTGGCCAAAATCACAATATATATATGAATATATATATATGAATATATATATAATATATATATATGAATATATATATATATGAATATATATATATAATATATTCACAAAGTGATTGGCAGCAGTATCTTCCAATGTTGATCCCTGATCACAACCAATTGTAAGGAACCCTGTCCAAAATACCAAAAAGGTTTGAATGCCCTGATCCAAAGATATCCCAAAGTAATGAGGTCCCCGACCAAGTAGTCCAACAAGTGAGGCCGCTCACTTTTCTATGGCTCCACAACGAGGATCCCTCCCACCGCGGCTATCCTGAGCCTCCCCTCGGCTATCGGGAGATAAAGGTATCACCGGTTGGTGTGGCATCTTGAACAGGCAGGTTTGAGATTCCCAAAAGTTCTAAAATTGTTCAAGATGTCCGCAGAGCTTGGCATAGACAAAGAGTCTTCACCTGATTCACTTCCCAAATTGTCGGCAGTTAAAACGCTCGGAACAAGTCAAAAGCTGTAATTCTGGTCAAGTATTGGAGGACGACTTGGCTTTTCCAAAATGAATTAGGTTTGCAATCAACCAGTCTTACTTCCCCTGATTGGAATCGGTGGACATGTGTCTCAGCCACTGCAGTTTCGCTCGGGAATCAGAGCGAGCACGGAGTATCTGGGATTCATCGTGGAGACTGTATCTCCCAAGGGCCATGCATTCCCGCAGGATACTAGCGTCCATAATTTTCGTGAGGGCATCCGCCAATTGTGCTTGACTGGGGACCCACCTGATCATTATTCCATTATTGAGATGTTCTTTGATTAGCTTGGCTTGCAACTGGGTTCTGAACTCTTGACATGAGGGTGGTGCGTGTCGGCTTATAAGGTCAAATAACGATTTGCAGTCCGTGGTTATGATAGATTGATGATTATGGTGTTTAAGTGAAGGAATATTGGCCATGTTAATTGGTGGTTTCTGAGTGATAGTTTCTTCCTCTGGCGGGATCGCGGCAAAAGCAGGAGGGAGCTTCAGCAGGGTTTCATCTGCCAGCTGCCATTGGCATTTCCCATCGCGCAGCCATGCCCAAAACAACCTGATCCAGGACAAAATGTCCACTGCACCAGCTAACGACATTGCTTCTGCTGACAAAGTACTGACAACAACCTTTTGGATCTTCTTGGAATGCCACACTATTGGATTCACAATGCTGCTTTTGTTATCTCCAATATCTTTGTGGCAAGACATGATCATCATCCCTTGGTGGGAGTCAGGTACCTTTTCTGACGCAAACGACGCATCAGAAAATGCTACAAACCGCAAGTGCTCCAATGGAATGGGCTGTATCTTCACTGTCACATCCGCAAACATTTTTGCCTCGTGCAAAGTTTTGTTGGCTTCCAGTAACGTTGCCACGGTGGCTTTATTAATGTTTGATTGTAACCATCCCAAACGGCTTGCTAGATCGGGTCTCGTATTGATGGCTGCATACTGCAAGGATCCAATTAAGGCACGCAAGCTTTGTCTCTCTCCTTCAGTCACTGCATCATGTGGTGTTACCTTCCGGTCCTTTCCAATGGAAATTGGAGTGATTTCTTTCACGTACTTTTCTTGGCTGACCCAAATGGCATTGTCATGTTTTTGAGATATACGGAGCCCTGTGAAAACAAAGTCTCGACTTTTCTTGCTGCCAAACGGATATTTTGCTTCGAGTTGAGCAAGCTTTGCATGAAATCGTGGTGATCCACAGCATAATCCATCATCGACATGGATCCCGATCAGGCCTTCGGCCCTCTGCTTTTCGTCTCTCAAGACAAACATGCAAGGGTCAAAAGGTGCGGCTTCAAATCCTAGGTTCTCGAGGCTCTGCTTGAGTTCTTTGAACCACAGGAACGGTGCATCTACTCGGCCATAAGCCCCCTTTAGGAGTTGAGCTATTTCATTGGGTTGAAGTTTCATCTTAACTCTTAATTCTTCAGGAGGTTCAATACCTAAAACCCTTTTGCTTTGCTCAGTCCCCCGCAAGAAAGCAGTTTTGATGTCAAAGCTACAGATGTCATATCCCAGACTCGCAGCATGCTGGAGAATAAGAACCCTGGACAACTTTGACATTGTTGGCGAGTCTCGAGGGATTTGATCCACCATAGGATCCTCAAAACCAAGCACTACCAACCGTGCTTTGGGTTTCAACCGAGGCGCCTGTACAGGTGGCCTGATTCCTGCGGACTTGGAGTCCTGTTGACTCTCTTCTGAATTGTCAGCATCTTTCCAAGTGAGGATCCAACGACATCTCATCACATTTTCTCTGGGGACTTTGTTGCGGAGGATCTTACACACTGTTTCTGTGGACAACCAACTGTCTATTTCTTTGGCCTTGGCCTCTTCAAACAATTTTCGGTCATGGGAGTTCAGCTGTGACATTCTGACTTCACTCCGTTGTTTCTTTGCGGCTGATACCAAAAACAGCATTTCTTCGGGTCTGGTTTCCTCCCGCCAGTGATTGATGTCCTGTTGATTGATGTCGACTTCGAACTTGAAGACCTGGTTTTCCTGGAGATGATAACATGGGATCTCTTCGGCATACAGACCTCCTTCTTCATCGGAAGTATCGGGAACAGGTACTTCAACTGGTGCGTTAATGTCAGGGATTGTTATCGGGTTATCGTTATTGGGGTTACTGGAGTTAATGGACTTGACATCAGGTTCATTGTCAGGTTGGTCAGTGGGACTGCAAATTGATGGTGACATGTCCGGTGGATTTTCTCCATTTGGATTGCTGTTTCTGGGCACGGTCACAGTTTCAGCACGAACATCACTGTCTCCGGAAGGTTCGGCTGAGCTACTCGCTCGGGCATCTTGGCTACTGGGAAGCATGTTGTGGTATTGGACACCACCATGGCTTGGGCGAATGCTTTGGTCATCTGAAGGTACTTGGGAAACTTTGAGGGGAGCATGTTGGAACTCTTCCATGGCTGACAGGCTTCGGACATATTCTGGAGGTACCCTGTAGAGTTTATGGTTACGGGTTACCCATACCACATTCTGGTTTTCTTGGATTATTACCTGCATGGGGCCTATCCAGCTACCATCGGCTTCCCCTTTCTTTTTCCAAATCATAACCCATTCCCCTTTGTCATACCAACCCCGACTGGGACGACTGCGATGAACAATTGCCCTCCTGAGAGTTTGGTCATTGTCAACCTCAGCAAATGCTTTTCTGGCTGCTTCCCTTGTGGCAAGATCTTGGCGAAATCGGAGACCATCAGGCATACTTGACAACGCGCGCGCATGAGCTGCAATGGTGGGATCGGAGGTCACTGACCCGGGGACCCGAATGCCTTTTCCAAAAACCAACATTTCAGGAGGATATCCTCGGTGTTTGCTCCATTGGTTCTTGGTGCTGGTGGCATGACTTAATGCTACTGACAGTTGGTCATAGTTAAGAATCGGGTTTTCATGGTCAATTTTATTGAGCATCAATTGTATGATCCCCCCATGTCTCTCAGTGCGGGCATTTTGCCAATGGGCTTCCGCTGCACACGTCCTACAGCGCACACTGTGGCGTTGAAGAAACTGGCTGAATTCTTCGGAGTTCATCTCGGTGCCTGAGTCTACACAAAGCAGTCCTGGTGGACCTGCCCAGTTGAACCAACCTGTGAGCAAGGCCTTGCATGCATGTTCAGTGGTGTGTGCTGGGGCAACCACGGCTGTCTGAAACAGTGTGCTCTGGTCAAGGAAATGATAAAAGAAAAATTGGTCACCCTTTGAATTCTTCCATACCACTCCATCCATGGAAACAATGTCACCAAAGTCACATGGTTCATGTATGGCGCTCGGCCTTGAGATGGCAGGTCCTTTGGCTTCCTGACAGGTTGAGCAACGGATGTCACTCACTGCTTTGGTGATCCGTTCAGGGCAATTCAGCTGTCTGCAAAACTCTCGCAACTTCATGGCGCCGGGATGTCCCAAATTCCGGTGCAGCTTGAGTAACCAATTCTGTTCTTCGGCATCCAACTGCTGAAACAAAGGACCATGCTTTTGACTTGCCAAATCAATGTGGTGAGGGGTAATGGATTCAGTGGCACTTTCAGGTTCAATGTTCATGTGTTCTGGTTGAGGTGCGAGTGTATCGGAACGTGGCCTTTCATAAATACTTTCGTGGCTGTTTAGAGTTCTATCCGGCTGCATCGGAATCGTTTCAGGGTTTTCTCGATCATGGCAATGACGCTTGGCGTCAGGAATCTGAGCTGCATCAAGCACTCTTCGCTGGTTGGAAGGATTGTTGGCGTCGGCAGAAGTGGGAACTGATGGCTGGGCTATGGCAGGCTGCTCAAGTGGTTGAGCTGAGGCGAAAACGGTCATGCTCAGTCTAGCTGCTACACCTTTCTTTCTCAAACCTCTATTGGACAGATTTTCCCACGTTTCCCACTCATCTACATGAATGTCTTCGGTCTTTCGGCGAATGCAAACTTGTCTTCTTAAAGGGGCAACACCATGTGGGAGATTCATGTTTGGTCCAACATATCGGTCAGTGCCTCTGCAAAGGACGACATGATGAATTTTGTGGTGTGGACACATGTCCTGCACAAGCTTCACGACATCACCTGAGTCAATCACCTTGGTGCCTACCCGTGGTGCTATTTGATTCGCCCGGCTCATTACTATCTGCCAATTGACACCAGAGCTCTCACGGCCAAAGCGTGCTTCAATGGCACTAGGGCTCAATTTGCTTCCAAGTCTGCGCTTCTTGGTGGGGTGTTCTTCAGCATTTTCCGTCAACGCATGCTCTTGTGGTCTCTGATCATGAATCAAAACCTTAGCAACTTGTTTGGCAAATTTCCGGGGATAATTCTCGGTCCATTGGGAGAGTCTAACCGTATGTCCATCAACCAAGGTGTTTCCTGAGATATTCCTATGGTGATGATCGCCAGAGCACAGCTTTCCATGAAAGCTCACATGAAGACCCAGTGAAGTGGAGCAAACGGTCAGTCGCTTTCGGATGGGTTCGTGCGTAGCGGGATCACGCAAGTTTCCCACTCGGCAAAGGTCAAACTCGTTCCAGTGAGTGTTATCTAGGATTTCACTCATGCCTGGAATTCGCCAGTAGGCTGAGCCGCGAGGTTGTTCCAGATCAAAATGGCTATGGTTGTCCAATTGAAATCTGAAAAGCACAATCCCCAATGCTGCTTGCCAAAGGTTGTCAATTCTTTGTTGCATGATCTCTTCATGGCTCTCAATTGATCGGGACATGTTGAAATTGCTCCATTGACACCATGGTTTACACTCAGGGCTGTACCACACATGTTTCGGTTTGTGAACTACCAATTGAGTGAACAACCTTTTGCGACCCTCTGGAGTTTGCAAATCTCCTTGAACCCTGCCAAAGCGCTCGGCTTTGCCACCAAGCTTTCTGACCTGGCTGGTCAGCTCGCTATCAGCTGAGCACATGACTTCCAAGAGGTTCAATCGCGGCAGATGGTGGCGATGGCTGGATTCCACCTGATGCATGACCTGTTGAAGTTCCTGCTCAAGTTTCTTCACCAACTTTCTAACATGTGACAAGTAATGAGGAGTTTGACCGTCATGTATGTACTCAAAGTCCATGTCATGATTGATGGAATCCTTCTTGGCACTTGACTTCGCAGATCCTACGGTTCGCTCTTGACACTCAGATTTCGAACATGATGCAACAGCTCCTGCATGGACATCTCGATCTGAGTCATGCGGCTGGCGAGGTTCTGGTTTTGCAAGGTCAGGCTTGTTACCTGATCCTCCACCTGAATCAGTTTGCCCACTCCGGCCATCTCGAACTCCTGTGTCATGTCGGTTTCTGAGATCTGATCCCACGATTCGGCTTCTGCTTCGGCATTCTTTGAGGTCTCCTTCGGGATCGTTTTCCGGGGTATGGGCTTGAATTCCTTCTCGATCTCTTGGTTCAGACATTTCTCGACGTACTGAATGTACATCTGGTGAGCCGGCTTCGTGCTCTTTTCGTACGTCTGTACAAACCAATCCGTCCAAGCATGGTCTTGGAACACCTTGGGAAAGCTTTGGCCCAGTTTGGCCTTCCCGAAACTGATCTTCTCTTGAGACAACTGCTCGAGCGTCATCGCTTTGATCTTGGTGATCTCGATCTGACCATCGGAGGTCTTCTGGCTTTCTCGGAATGTCTGCAGCTTTTGGGCAACGCTGGACATGTTGACAAACGGTCGCGGCAGTCACAGAGGCTGAGTCTTGAACACCGTCAAAACTTGCTGAGGGCGATACATCCATGTTCGGCTTAGACATGGTGGCTTCAGGAGATAACATGCTGGCATTGGGCACTTTCGGACAGTGATCCTGCTGTGGCATGCTTACCTTATCATGAAACTCTTCGGTTGGCAGTGTTCCATCTCCCTGAGAGCTGACAGGCGCTTGCTTTTCAACATCCTCGGACTGAAAGATCAATCCGCTTATGGACGGCGTCTGTGCTTGCTGACCATGGGACTGTGAGCACCACAACTGGTTGAGATCCATCATCAGCAAGTTTTTGGGGTTACGCTCCACTACTAGTTCTCTATCCAACAATTTACTCCAAAGGCTTCCATGTTCAGTGTCGATAATGGCTTTGATTCCTTGGAGAAAAGAACTGGATAACAGGAATGGAGTTCGTCCAGGAACAATTGCGATGCGAAACTGTGCTTTTCCCAATGGTAGCAACAATGCATGCTTACATGTCAGAGTCTGCTGGTTGCCAAATCGAAATGTCAGGTTGCATGAAGTTCTCTTGACCTGGGACTTGATATCTTGAGGAAGTTGTTGCAACAATTCAGGAACTTGCTTATCCCCAATTACCGTTTGTGAGGCTCCCAAATCAATGATCCCAACAGTACCTGTAGTCACAAAATTGGCTTCCAGGAAAGACTCCGGTGAATCACAGAAAACGGATGCGCTCTTCGGCAGCTCCGGATGCTTTGGCTCAGTGTTGGAACCTACGGAATGGTGATCAGAAGACTTCAGAGTCCTCAGGGTGCGTCGCCACTGGACGGCGAAACGGCTGGCGAACTGCTTACACTTGAGGCTATATCTATTCCCATGATATTTACCATTCCCATCATTCCCACTTAGAACCATAAAACAACTGTGAACATCGGTGTCCTGAGTTTCGGCCATGGCAATGTGTGCAATCTCAACAGGGGTTTCTTCGGCAATGACAAACGACGTGGGCACTGAACTGGATGAGGCATTTGTCGATGTGGCACCAGAACCTTGAGGTCGCTGCGGGCACTCGTTCTTCCAGTGACCTTTCTGCATACAAATCCTGCAGAAAGAATTTGCAATTCTCCTAGCCAGCGATCCACTGCCAGAGAATGGACTTCGACCTTTCCCTTTTCCTTTGCCCTTTTTCCCATTGCCTTTGTCAAAATGCTTCGACACAGGCCAAAACCCTCTCACCTTGACTCGTTCCGACAATCGGCGTCTGGCCTCTTGGTATGCTGAATAGTAGGCACACAAATCACTGTCAGCCTGAATGGTATCGGCAATGGAATCCTCAAACTGCATGACAAGAATGGCATCCTCATCGTTCTCGGCTGCTAGAATTTCCAGTGCTTCATCATCAGGCAGGTCATCTTGCATGGCATATACCTCACCTTCTGCATCACCTTCATCATCAACATGCATGGCTGTGTGGTCATATGTCTTGCCTACCTTGTCACGTCGGAGACCAGTGTATTCCTGAAAGAACCCTGACCCCAACAGACGAATGGCTGATGTCACCTTCTCCATGGTGAGCTGACTGCCCTCTTCTGCTTTGGACTCGATGATGACACGTTTTTTGTCATCGGCTGCAAGTCGGCTGCCTCGCAGCACTATGTATGCTTGAAGTTCCTTCATGTCCACCTTCTTCGACAGGAGTTCTGTCCACGTCACATCACATCGGGACAGGTAACTGTCAGAGGTTTCATCAGACTTTTGGGAGCTTCTATACAAGGCACGCTCGGCAAGCTCGAACTTCTTTTCCAGTGGAATCTGCCCCCATGTCCCACCAACGATTTCGACCAACCGTTGAATCCCTTTTTCAGAATTGACCAGCACTTCACCCTGCAAAAGTTGCAGTTTCTGATATGCTGTCCCTTTGCATCCTAGGATCAACCGTGTTGCCAATTCATTGAGTTTATCAGGGGGCCATGTATTCAACAATAACTCCACCTTACTCGTCCAAATTTCCACATTGTCCACTGATGGATCAAATCCAGGCACTAAGCTCGCCAACTCCTTAGGCACATAGTTTGAACCACCACCTGATGCTTCGCTCATTGCTCGGCCACAAAGATCACGTCAAGGCACCCTGTGCTTTGCTAATGGTCCCTGGGGAGCACGGTCAAATCGACCAGGTAGCTCCGCTACCAATCACAAAGTGATTGGCAGCAGTATCTTCCAATGTTGATCCCTGATCACAACCAATTGTAAGGAACCCTGTCCAAAATACCAAAAAGGTTTGAATGCCCTGATCCAAAGATATCCCAAAGTAATGAGGTCCCTGACCAAGTAGTCCAACAAGTGAGGCCGCTCACTTTTCTATGGCTCCACAACGAGGATCCCTCCCACCGCGGCTATCCTGAGCCTCCCCTCGGCTATCGGGAGATAAAGGTATCAACGGTTGGTGTGGCATCTTGAACAGGCAGGTTTGAGAATATATATATATGTATATATATATATATATGATCAGATATCATATGTCATAAAGGCACCGTTTTCAAATATCATATGAGAAAAACAACAGTGCTTCTTGGAGCCTTGCAGGCCACCGGATCCGATGGTCCTGTGGTTCTACAGTCCACAGTCGTGTTTTCTGGATACATTTGAATAACACATTATTGAGGCTTCCAATCAATTGGGGTACCCCTAAATCACCAATTTCCATAGAATTTTCTATTGTAAACCAGCTATTGGAGATCCCCCATGACTTAGGAACCCCTCATATTGACTGCCTGCAGCGTTGCTAGAGGCCACAACTGAACTGGTCTCGGTGGAGTTTCCTCAGGGAGAGCAGATGGCCGACAAGGACGCGCTGAGGCAAAGTCAACTTCTTGGCACCAAACAGGTGCGGGGATTGATGATTGGATCACCATCAGGAACCGTCATACCAGGGTTTCCCCATGTTTTCTGTGTGGAGGCCACTGAAATTGCCTTTATGCGATTCTGATTCGCCGCAAATCTGTTTCGAAAGGCAAGTGGCGAATGCCAAACTTTGGTCATGTGATGATGCCAGTTTTGGGAGGCAGTGGAGCAATACCCTCAGAAATATATCGAGTATGATGGCATCTTGGGCTGAAACACTATTGTTTTGCTGCAACCTCAAGAGGGCTAGGAAGATGCCATTGCAATCCATTGTGCGTTTCTACCTCGGATGTGTCTCCCCAAGTTTTGGTCCGATGGCTCAGATGGCTGAGCGACGAGGCAAAATCATTGCGGACCGCGGATATAACATGCGCAACTACGTCCGTGGCAGCGGCGGTGGGCCGCGTGCGCTGGAGTCCGTAGAATGGGATCCTAAGAGTCCCAACCTGTCCTCAGCATCTCGTCGCACCGATGACTGAAACCAATGGTCGATGTGGATGATTATCCTCTGGTAATTTAACACTGCCACATTAACAATGGTGATTTTTCATAGCTATGTTAAATTACCAGAGGGTATATAAATATTCTTTGATCATTATGAGCAGAACGATGTTGAAGACTCTTAGCTTCTGGGTCTGTAGTCTCACATGCTTAAGGTTGCTGCTTGCTGGATTTCGAGGTAACACTTAAGCGCAACGGGCTCTCAATCAAGACGGAAACCCGCATTAAAAAGCGGACGGTTGGAGTCCCAGAAGGACTGAACTCACAGCTGACGTCATTTGGAAACTCGACACAGGGTTTGTTTAGGGTTTGTTTAGTGTTTATTTAGGGTTTGTTTAGGGTTTGTTTAGGGTTTGTTTAGGGTTTGTTTATGGTTTGTCTAGGGTTTGTTAAGGTTCAGTTTGGGTTTATTTAGGGGTTGTTTAAGTTTTGTTTAGGGTTTATTTACGGTTTTGTTTTCTAGGTTTATTTAGGCTTGGTTTCAGGAGGGGGGAGGTAGTGTGTCAGGAGTAAGATGATAGTAGCCAGGCTGGGGGGGTGGTGCACCCCACCCCTAGCCTATATGAAAAGGAACTCCAAATAAGGAACTCAATTGCTGGCACAAAAGGGATTTGTGGTGTAATTTCTTTCAGTCCATGCCATTGAGAGGAATATGCTTGTCCTGGGGGTTTTATCCATGACGATACGAGTTTTCGCACTTCAGCGGAGCCCCATAAAAGCTACGTACAGTTTCTCAGCATCATTGACCCTGCTTGAAGTATCTGTGTGGGAGGACGCGACGATTTGTTCAACAGCAGCGAAGTCTTTCTGCAAGACACTTGCCAGGCCGTGAGATTCATATCCTGAATCATTTGCGGGGTATGTCAATGTGGGCAGCCTTACATTGGCTCTCAGCAAAAGGTGTTTCCCGGGTCTGCTGGTTTGTGAAACACACAACTCCCAGCTCAACACGCGTACGATGGGTTGGCGTTTTGTATCTCCTGATACTTTCCCTTCGAAAAACCCAAACTCCCAGGTGGTTTTTCTTTCATCCAAGGAAGTAAGTGGATCCAGCGAGGGGGACAAGATTACGCCGATCCGGTGTGTCAACAAGTGGCCAGCTTAGGGAAACCTGGATCCGGTGGTTGTGCGGGAGGTGAGGAGCTTTGAGTATCCATATTTCCCACTCAATTCGGAACCAAGGAACCACTAGTATAAGTTTCCCAACCACGTGATAGCTGTTTCCCGAGCCTCAAATGCTGGGTTGAAGTGTCGGAGTCAACTGTTTGCAAGAAGTTAGGACCCAGATGTTCTGATTGGCCGACGAGCAACACGGGTCTTCCAAATGGTTGTGGAGAAGTTTTAATATGCACTCACGGTTTCCAGGAAGAGAAAACAAACCTAGACCATATACTTTTTTACTTATTTACTTGTATACTTATTAACTTCAAGACTTATGTACTTCTATACTTATATACATAGAAAATTTGTACTCATGTGCTTATGCACTTATGTACTTATATATATATATTTATATACTTATGTACTTATGTGCTTATGTGCTTATGTGCTTATGTGCTTATGTACTTATGTACTTTTGTACTTTTGTACTTATATACTTTTATACTTATATACTTATACTTATATACTTATTAACTTATGTATTTATGTACTTATATATATACTATTGATACTTATCTATTTAAATACTTATTTACTTATAAATTTATATACTCATGTACGTCTTTACTTATTAACTTATATACCAATGTAGTTCTATACTTTTATACTTATATACTTTGATACTTACATACTTGTATACATATGTACTTTTGCACTTATGTGCTTATGTACTATTGTACTTATGTACTTATGTACTTTGATACTTATGTATGTATACACTTATATACTTGTGTACTTATGTACTTATATACTTATATACTTATGTACTTATGTACTTATATACTTATATACATACTTATATACTTGTATACTTATATACATATATACTTTATACTTATAGTATTAGCAGAATAGTTCTAATGTACTCCCAAGGACAAAACTTTTGCTTCATATGTCAGGTTCAAAAAGAAAGACTCGGAGATCCTTGTGATCCAACGCCTGGACCAGATGTGGCACCGGGGGTTTTGTGTCTCGCAAAGGGATCACTAGACCTGTGGACATTGACACGCCTTGGCAGGAGATTTTCCCACGCTATGACGGAAACAATCCGGAAACGCTGAACTTGGAGAAACCCTCAGTGATCTACAAGTACAAAGGCTTTGGATTCTGGAAGAAGGGTGGCCTGCATCTCATTGAAACTGAGATTGTCACGAGCAGTTTATTTCATCCTTGGTCAACATCTGGATTCTTCTAAAGTTGCTACTCCCACCTACCAATGTGAATCTGTGGTCCCATTTGACCTGTGCCCTGCAGGAGTGCTGCGCCGCGATCTACCACTACGAGCATCGGTTGAAAAAGAGCGACCCGCGACTGCTGTTTTGGCTCCTGGTGCCCCAGGAATCTGAAATGGGAGATAACCCTCATTGGATGTTCGGCTTTGATTTTGAGAGCTGCATTGCTGGTAGTTTGATTTCGTAGCTCTTACGTTGTTTTCGATTTACTTTAATTTGATAATTGTGTGACAGATTCCAGATTCCTTTCCCATCTGGTTGACCCCTCGCAGGCTCCCCAGGCGCAGTTGGTGCATCTCTGCTGCGTTCGATTCAAAACCACCAGGCTCACCAGGCGGGGCAGCTGGGGCTGGGTCGTGGAGCAAACCCATTGGGGATGAGAAAAAAGATCCATTTACGGGTCACATTGGGGGTTGTTTATTTGTTGATGATGTTTATTTACCACATGATGCCAATGATTATGCTATTGCAGAGATTCGGACTCTTTGCAGAGTCGCAACTGATCACAGATTAGGTCAGGATCATCACAACAGGCCTGCAGTGTAATTAGTGGGTCAACTCCCGTCCAGATGACCTCTGCCAAAGAAATGTCGGCCGCGCCCTACCGGCCGGAGCCCTGGAGTGCAATTTTTCAAGAGAATGAAGACGAAATAGAGCTGCCGTTGCTCAGGATCCCCATTCAACATCATTTTTTGTGGTTCGTAGGGTTTTCCTCATTTTTTCCTCTTTTTTTATGATGTGTGGTTTCTTCACCTTGGCAGTTTCCAGCTCAACTCAGGGTTTGGGTGGTTTTCCTTGAGATTTTGCCTAGGCCAGGGGAGCTGCTCTCAAAGGCAATGACCCAAGAGACTTCCGATGCCCGGAGCCTTGGGAGTCCTGAGGACTTGGATGATCCGTATGATATGGCTATGGATCAATACCTATACATAGCATTTTTAGGGGGATGAACATCCATAAATCCCAGCTATTTTGATGTGAACTACAGAGGGATAGGGTTTTGACCCATCCCCATATATGGATCAAACTTTAGTCTTTCGTCATATTTTTCCTGGATAGTTGTTGGATTTGACCATCTGCTCCCATGTCACGAAAAATCTTGCGACTGCTGGAAGGCACAAATTCCTACCAACTCCGCTGCAAGCTTCGACATGAAAGGGCACAAGGCACTGAGGTCATGTCTAAACTTTACTCCATCCACCTTTGTTGGGACCTTTGTTGGGCTTGCATCAGCAGGGCATAGAATGAATCATATGAATCCCTGGTCATTTATGAGGCGAAGTAACCATTTGCACAGCAGGACTGGCTGTGCTCCAAATAAAACATACCAAAAAATAGCAGGCTGCTGCAGAGGCTCATTGTGAAGTTGATGGCTCAGAAAGGGATGCTCAGCCAGATACCACTCAAAAATGGAAGTGAGAATAAAGGGAGATTTGTCATTTTTGGGAGAGATGATTTCATCCCCTGAGCATTGGAAGTTTTGTATGGAGGTTTTTGGGCGAAGAAAGTCTTTGTTTTTCCTTCCGGATCCAGTTGTTTAGGTCTTCCAGCTGCAGATTGGTTGCAGCTGCGCTCCGAGGTATCTCCAGATGAGCGTGACGACGATGACGATGATGATGACGATGATTATTCCGACTCAGAGGTGACTCCAGTTGTCATCCCCGTCATGGATCGACATATTGAGATGACCTCCGAAAACTAACCTCATATATATATATATATATAGATACATAACTATATAATAAGTATAACTATAACTATGCGTACATGTATGTGTATATGTATATATATACACGCATAAAACTCATCGTTGCTAGTAAATGTAAACACGGATCAAGTGCAGACGGCCAAGACACTATGAGGGGCCTCTTTGAAGAACCTCCGACAGCTGTCAGGATGCCTATGAGGATGGTCAGAGGCAGTCATGTTGTGAGAGAAGTGGACGCTCAGATTGTTGAATGCTCCTGGATTTCCAAAAGCCAACGGATGTGATCCTCCAATTCGATAAAGTAGCCTCTGAACAGACGCAGTCAAAACGTTACAGGGTGCATTGTGGCCTAAAGTTCAACACTCCTCCAGAATGAATATGCTTACAATCCGTGTTCCCATAGATGCTGCTGGGGGTCCTAATATTGAAGTGAATGTCCTCTACAGGAAGAGCACCAGGACTTAAAATCTCTGAGCCCCAACTTCTTAGCCCCAGCTTCCCTTCAAACCTTGGCTAGACAGCCAGGCCCGTTCCTCCGGGCAAAGTGGATGGACAGCAACTCAATGTAGGTTCCACAGGACTGCCAGCGCCAGCCAAGATGTATTAGCTGCCAGACAGCCATGGCAGCCATGGGCCACCAGGACACCATCTTCGGCTGTGCAAACCCTGTGCATTCTGGAATACCAAGGGCTGCAAAGTGGGGTCCTCGTCCGGGGTGTCAAGGGATTTCAACATGGTCCAGATTCAACAGGACCGGCAGGGTTGCTCCAAGTGATAGGAAAGTGACCGCCACAAGGGTGGAAATTTGGTGATTTCAGGATGTTGGGAGCAACCTTGACACTTGTGGTTCGATTCAGGTAGCTTCAATTTCATATTCCATTGTTTGCCTTCTGTTGGTAATGGTCCCAATGTCCATTTCGCATTGCAGTTCTGCCAGCGCTGCTTTTTGAGATTCGGAGCACTGGTGGTTTCTGAAGTGTGGGTCCCTCCAGTCCTCCAGATCTTGGAATTGTTTTAGGGTTCAGAAGGGTCTCCTGAAAATTGGATCGTTTCGTAGCCAGAAAAACAGTGAGATACTGGAGCTCCCGAAGATAATTGGGTCGAATCCTCAAAAAACTCATACCATATCGGATTTCTTTCACAGAAAAAAATGGGGGTCCACCAGTAAAACCGATTTTCCTGAACATCACTATTCTTCGATCCCCTATCTTCGGAAAGCCAAAACATATTGGTTCACCCATAAAAATATCTATGGCTTAGGAAAGCCAAACATCTTGCTTCACCCATTAATATATATGTATATATATATATTATAGGTAAAAGGAGTGGTTTACCCATCAAAAAGTCACCATTTTTTGTACCCCCGGTGACACATGGCCCATGGCCCGTGACCGAGGACGGCAAGGCATGCAAGTTTTGTCACCTCTGTGAACCTGGCGAAAAGAAGCGCCGCAAGAAGGCGACCCATTTTTTTTGGGGCGACCAATCAGCGGAATCTATAAAAACACTGGGGACTGTTTTTTTTTGGGAGTTTATATAACCCATTCTGGGAATTTTTGTGGATTTTTTGGAGTTTGAAGTATCCATAATTCGAACTAAACCAATAAGAATGAACATTTGAATACTAAACTGAGTTCCTAAACCATTTGTGATGTTGGGGTCAATTTTGAACCAACTCCAGAGTTGCGAAGGATTCAAATTGAGGCCCAAGTGCATACATAAATACAAAGTTCCCATGCACATAGATTCTATACAAAGTTCGATCTAGAGTTGTCAACTGCCAGCTATGAAATAAGACTCTAAGCCCGTTGTCCCATTGTCAAGTCAAGGTTATCGTGATCAAAATGTGATCAGTACCTTCTGCATTGCAAGCCGCAAGCCTTTGCATTTCACCCGGTTATCATCATTCTTCAGAACCATTCCAGCCACAAATGCAAATGATCGCTTGCCAAATCATCAAATCATCAAGAAAACACTTGGGATAATCCGAACGGCATCCACATCTGCCAGGAAAAGAGTGCCTACATCCGCAACATCTCCCGTTGGCGTCAGACCGATCCACCCCCTCCGGCCGCCCCTCCCACCCGACCCCCTCCAGGGCCCCCCGGCCCTCCCATCGGTGGTCCTGGACCATCCTTGGCGCCGCGGAGATGAGGCTGGAAAGGGCTGGAAGTTACATGGGGAAAGATGGGAAAGAGGCTTACCCTCTGGTAATTTAACATAGCTATTGAAAATGGCCATTTATAGTGAGTTTTTCCATTAACAATGGTGATTTTCCATAGTTATGTTAGTTTACCAGAGGGTAAGGTGAGCTTTGCTTTTGACGGCTTTGATCCCGACCAGGCCCAGTGTGATGAGCCATGATGCTTAGCCAAATCGAAAAGGGCGATCTGAAGACGAGGAACTGCAAACAGCTTTCGTTTGCCTCCACATGCGCAAAGGCAACAGCATGAACAGAATATGGGTCTGTCATGCCCTAAATCAGGATATGTGCGAATCGCATTGGAGGTACTCGCTGGCCCAATGTACAGTGCTCTGCAGTGTGGCATGGTGCGTTTCACTGTTGCGGCGTCAAGCGACATCGCGTCGCCTCAGCGTCGCCACCGGCTATTTTAAAGGATAGGAGAGCAGCGTAGGGACCAGTATGTCAACTGCTTTCCGGCCGCCCACAGGGTGGCAATGTGTGACCACTCACCAGTCATCTTCTGATGGATATTGAAAGTTTTTAAGTATATAATTAAATAAATATACTGTTGGCAAGAGGATTGTTCCATGAATCTCAACCGTTCTGCCATGTTTTTTTCCGGCTGACTGGCACCGATTAGATCCGTGCAGCTACTGTGGAGATGAGCGAAGATCGGAAGATCGAGACGAAGATCTCAGGTCTGTAGGAATGCATCGAGCAGCTCTGAGCAGCTCTGGGTTCCCTATTGACAAACCCATGACATTTCCCAAACGACAAGTCTGCTCCTCTTCACAAAGGGTTCTAGATAGATGGGCCATGTGTCACTTCATTGAACCATGTTTGTGGTATTTTGCTTTGAGCTGAATCTGATGACTACTATTGATTAAGCAACTCCAAGACATCCCATACTGGATGCTGTTGCCACCAGCACCAATGTCAACATCAACAGTAGCATTGACATTGACATCAACATGGAAGCCAACATTGACAGTGACATGAACATTAAAACACTAACAACCACAATGGAGCGACAACAGCAGCAACACCAACCACAAACACCATTGAGTCAAGCACAAACATTCGGAAGACCCCACTGCGCTGCGAGCGATGCATATCCAGAGCTGCCGTGAACGACAGGATCCCGCCAAAGTGTAGCCGACATTGTCGGTGCCAAGTTGGGAAGAAAGAAAGGGCGACAGCATTGGTATGTCTCAAAATATATGAAACGATTGGGCTTTCACTTACTTTCCAATCCATCATACTTGAAAACTTGTCCTTGTTGAAACCGATGGGTCATGGAACCCCTTCTTTGAGCAGTTGTGAAGGGATGGAGGAGCTACTTTGGGGGATTGCACGGCGAAGAAGCAAACAGTCATATGTGGTTGCAGCAACACGGATCATTGATCTGAGCGAAACGATCTGCTCGCAGTATTTTCTGATTTTTAAACACATGTATCTGAAGATGCTGGAATCGAACCGGTTTGACATTGTGACATCTTCAAAAAGGGCGATCAATGGCAAACTGCTTCCAGTGTTTGGGGATGTCACCAATCTGGTCCAGTTCAAAGCCATGGTGTCTGTTCAAAGCCATAAAACAGTTGTGTGTCAAGATTCAGAACCCCATGGACCCACACACCTTGGTTGTATGCTGAACCGGCCCCATTAATGAGAACCTGGTTGAGGTCACTTATTGATCAACAGTTTTCCACTCAAGCTCTGGGCGGTTGCATGCATCAACTGTCACGTCGAATGCGGAACAACAAGTGGAATGATCCTGTTGCAAAATTTGAACGGAAGAAACAGTTCAACTGAGTCCAACCAGTTCCAATTCTTAGGGTCAAAACAGATATGTCTTCATCAAAAGACATCATATACAAACGATACAAACGTCTTCACATCTGCATCTCCAATCACTCGGGCCGAAGCGGTCCCTGCATTTGCAGGCATGTGCAACAGCCGACACGTGTTGAGGTCTTAAACATTGATGGTCCTCATTACAGTTCTTAGTGAATTGCTCTCAGTTATCAATCATTGAACAGTTTCAGGCGTGTTCAGTAGTGTGGTTTTTATATGTGTCCGATCCGCTCCGCCTAACATTGAATAACCAGAGGTGAGGTAGGATTTCGCCGTGCGACAAAAATGACATCTTTGTTGTGGTTAGGGCAGCGTCTCTGTTTCATCTATGGACTTTCTAAGATTCTATGCATGAACAGATCCACTGCAATATTACTACAAAACTAGGTTTTTCTGGGAGGTATTTCATATTACGGGGGATCATATGGGGGTTTCCTACAATGGGGTACCCCTAATTAATTGATCGTAATGGAAAATCCAATTTAAAATGGATAATTTGGGGGTAATGTGGTTAAAACAATAATAAACCATCCCCAAATCACCATAAATAGGTGGTATGTTTACCATTCCCAAATGGGTAGTTTATTATTGTTTTAACATGTTTTAACCACATTACCCCCGTTTCAGGAAATCCCCATATCGCTACCATGGTTGGAGCCCTGCGACAGGCATGCCTTTGGACTTGGCCTCGGCATGGCCCTGAGCAGACTGGGGACTCTGTGAAACACATGTGGAGTGAAACACATGTGAAAACAATTAGAAATCCATTTGAAGTAAAATTCCATAGGAAATATAGGACATCCATAAGAAAAGCATCAAAAATCCTCAACAACTTTCATCTTTGCCTGATGAATTTTGTCCACCATTGCCCGCTTACAGAGGTATCGGCGCAACTGGAGCTGAATGACATCCCAGAGAGTGCACATGAGCGAAGCTGCCGCGTTTGATGCTGGGCCCAAAGCCGGCTACCTCATGGTTCCACACAGAAGCTGTGCGTTTGGGCCCAGCCATTGTCTTTGGAAGTTCCTTGTACTCATTTGTACGCCGTCCATCAGCTAGATTTTTCTCGGGCAGTTTCTGAATTGCTTGTTTTGCCCTGTCTTTTTTGCACGGATTCTATAGCGCTAACCCTGGTGGCAGGCCTGGTCCTGGGCACTACTTTGGTCCGGATAGCCAGGGCTTCAATGCGTGCGGATGCTCAGAGATGGTCAATCAGGCACCAGTTTCCGCCAGTGCTTGAAGTGTACCATTAAGAGCAAGAGAGTAGGTGGGCTGGTCTCCGAATAGCGGATGCTGACCCAACTGAATCCTCGCAGATGATTTTATTGATTTTGTTTCCTTAGAGGCATCCCAAACTCTTCCATTTTTCCCACTATGTTTGATGGCTCTTTTTCTTGGGGGGTTACATTGTTACATGGCAGTGTGTCAAAACCTTGTACCCCTGGTGAACATCAAAATAGCTGGTAAATGGATGTTCATCCCCCTAAAAATGGTATTAATAGGTATTGATCCATACCCACATCAACATGTTTCCCATCGTTGAGGATGGGGAAGCAGCTGTTCAGCAAGTGCCGCTCAGTTGGAGCCCCAGCTGTTCGGTCGATGTTTTTGGATGTCTGGATGTCATCCCAACCTAGGTATGTCATCCTCAAACGGCACCTCAAAAAAATTAGCCAAAGATGGTCTCAAAATGTCTCAAAGATGCCAGATTTTTTCACGGAATCCTCATGAATCCTCTTCATCACTAGAACTTTCTGACCAAAAATCCTGAAACCACGGGGAACTGGGAACCGAGGCTCCAGAGGTGAGCTTGCCGCGGACAGGCCCGTCCTTGCGAGATTCCGGTCATTTTTGAGTATGCGTATTGAGTCCATCTGTTTTGGGGTGCCCAATTTTGACTTATATATATATCGAAACCAAGAAAACCAATCTTTGAGGATGAGTTCGAAGTTACTGCATGAGCCTTCTGTGTTGCAGGTTGGGAGAACTGGCAAAAGGTCACTGTCTCCAAAGCTTCTGCATGCGCCACGGCTTCGATTTACAACTGACATGACATTGGCAAGGGTCATGTTGCCATCCGATTTGGGGGCTAAGCTGCCAAGAGAAGGGGATCCGGGGATCAGTCAAAAAGGGTCCACAACAGATAGATGGTTGGCTTTAAAGCTACAAAAAATCAATGGCCATTTCAGGAACCTAAATTGGAGGTACCTACCATATACAAGGCCTATGTAAGGCCTATGTAAGGGAATATCCTCCCAAAATATGGCCTTATATGGTACAGCACCTCCATTTTAGGATCCTGAAATTCCCATTGAAAAAATCCGATCACATGAATGAGTTGACGCTCCTTGCTGGAACTCGCACCTCTTTTACCTGTTACCCGTTACCCGATTATCGTTCATCCATCCATTCGTTGAGGGAAAGCGGAATGCTTTTCATTATGCCACGCTGACAGATGGTGGGAACCAATAATAGACTTGATTCACAACCTGTGAATTTCTGTTTCCCGGCCCTGGCATGTCTTGTTTCGAGGGGAAACATCCGAAGACAAGTTGTTTTCCGTTTTCGATCTTGCAAGAATCAGAGGTAAGGACTCTCCAGCTGAATCATGGACCAATGGACAATTGTTCATCAAAAAAAGTCAGAGGGTCAAATTGTGCTCCACCTTTTGACAGCTGTCCCCTGCGCCAGCCACCAACTTGGGGCGCGAGTCGCCGAGCTGTGCCTACCATGCCCCTCGACCATAGCAACGACCAAAGCTGACAGAGGGCATTCCTTTGGTTCCATTGAAAGCAAAATTGTGGTAGAACATGGTAGAACAAGTTTGGGAAGTCACCGGACATTCTCAGCGCATAGAAAAAACTTTTGAACCACCAATGGCTTTGAGATTGACGGTCCTTGGTTGATCTTGTTTCAAAGTCCCAGTCGATGTTTTTGGGACTGACTGTCGCAATGTCAGGGGGTAGATTTTTCCAATGGCTCTGGATGTTCAGGCATGAGCCATCCATGAGCCATGAGCATGACATCCGCCCAGGTTCCATCCACCATGGACATTCAGGCTCGCATCGATGATGGAAGTTTCCAAGGATTTGGAAGTTCCAACAGGCCTGGCTAAGCCACCAAGACGCTCAAAGCTCATCGTTTGATATTGGATGTGCTCAGATTTGGATGTCTCGGACTCTGAGATTGTTTGTTTTGCATCCAATTCTCTTTGATGCACCTTCAAAATCCTTTAAAACTTAACACAGGCAGATCATGCAGTGGTTTGCAGGCCAGACCTCTCCCTGTCCTTGGGAGTGGATCCTCATGGTTCCCCAGGACCAACGTCCGTGAACCCAGTTAGGTTTTGATCACATCATGTGGAAAGCAGACTATCGTCTCCCAATATCTGTGGCTGCTGTTTCACCAGAAGCTTCCAATCACTGTACATGGCAAGTTTTGTGAAAGGAACAACCACCCTTGCAGCACATTGAGGTACAACGTCAGGGAGTGCCCAGCGATGCAGGTTGGAACAGCGAGAGCCTTTGTCACACCGTGTGACATCTCCACTTTTTCTTATGTCATATGTGGCTGTGTCTCTGAAAAATGCTGGGGTACACCCCCGATGATGGCATCGGGAAGACGAGAAAAACCAGCCCACTGAGGGCCCCATTGCCAAGTCTCGGGAGAACAAATCTTTTGGCTGCGCGGAGCGGTTCCGTGAACAGAGGCGTGTGGCCGTTGGGGCCTACGAAGCCACACCCGGTGGGGTGGCTTCGTGGTGGTTCTCAAATCCGGGCAACCAAGGGTTGGGTCTTGAAGGTTTTCCTCTGAAAGTTGGACCAGCTGATTTTGCGTTGTGAAACTAGGTGAAACTAGCTGGAATCAACAGCTTTTCTCAATGGAATGTGGTAAATTCATGTATACTGTATATGCATGTAAATTCAACAAGAATCCATACCATGTGGTTAGCTCCACATCATGTTTGTGCATTTATTGACCCGTTGCCCGTAATGGTATGGCTCCCAGTGATGCCCAGGGGCGGGAGCATTGGTCCTGGTCAGTATCGCCGAAAGGACTTCTCGCCCGGGCAGCCCAGCCCATCAGCCCATCCCAGCCTGGATGGGATGGCCATGGATGGCCTACACGACTCGAAAAGCCACCATTTTCGGAGGGTTCCATGATGTTCCATGATGTTCCATGAACTGGGAGTATGATGAAAACCTTTGTCATCCTTTTTCCCAAAATAGCATCCTTTTTCATAGTGACTTAGTGAGTCACGCCAGGCTGCGGTTTGACAACGGCCGGTCCATTGGAACTGGAAGACAAGCCTGGGAAAAGGCGCAATCTTCGGGACTTGACGTGGATTGAAGGGACTTGACGTGGATTTTGTTGTTTGCTTGAAAGTTCGAAAGGTTGTATCATGTTGTATCTATTGCATGACAAATGCACATAGGGTGAACATGTCGCCCAGCCAGAGGTGGTGACGCCTGGTTGGGAATGCGAAGGCCACACAGCGGTGCAACAACAACCGGGGGAAAAAGATATAGCCAGAGGTGTCTGACATAGCGAAACCAATATCTTGTTGGAGGGGAAGTTGCACAATGTTTAAAAGTCTTTGAAAGCAGCAATTTCACATGCATTCCATGCAGCCCGCGTGTCAGGTCGATGTAGAGCCAGCCCCGGAGTAGGGCCTCCGCTGTGGAGCGAAGTTGTCCGAGGGGGTTTGGGGCCCAGAGGTAGGGGATCAGTGGTATCCCTACAGACCAATTGGGGAAATTAGGATCATAGGTGATCGGAATAGATAATATAGATCTAAAATAAGCTAAATCGACCCAAAACAGCTTGTTTCTTGGTGAGGTCCGCATATCCAACCTCCCAGTTAGCGATCGGCTTCACGAGCCTAGCAAGGTGTCTCTATGGGCTGTGCCCAGCGTTTCCCAAAAGCAGGTGCCTGGTGCCCGCAGACGTGGAAGGAAATGGATGGATTTCTAAATCCCGAAATGGTTAACATATTCGAAGCTGGATCCCCAACACAAAATGGATCAACATTGTTTTATTTGGATCCTTTCGAAGCTGGCTACCTCAAGCCACACACCAAGTTTGAGAAACAGTCAAGAGTTGCTACAAGGTTATTACATGGTCGGTTTGGAAATAACAAATCACTGGGTTTTACCAAATTCAAGGATTCAAGACTCAGAACAGACCACCAGTCGGTGACAGCCGGTAGAATTTTCTCAGCTTCAATGTCCGGCGGCGGCTGGGTGCTGGAATCTTCAATATGGGATGTGAGACTTATGAAGTTGCCCGGTGACAGAGTAGGCACTTGATATGAAGTTGTGTTTAAGAAGGATGACTTTGGTTAATGTGGTTCTGGAGTGCTTCATGATCTTCATGCTTAGGCCAAGGGATCCAAGGGTGTTTGAAAACATGGGCTCACCCGTCACCGCTGTTTACGCCAGCTGACACGAGCTGCAGCCCTGGACCCATCTACAACTTGCAGGCCAGAGGGGAATTCCGATCTACTTCAACTGGGGAAAACATGGGAAAACTATTTCCTTCCTTCAAAGATAGTCTTTTTATTCACCTCAGGCGATAGGGTTCCAAGATGTTCCAAGTGAAGATGATATAGAACCGCATCAGTTCTTGGGTCTTGATTCCTGCCGAAATGGTGCGATTTAAGATGCCATATATAGTCTTGGATACCGTGATGGTTTAACTTCTGCGACTGGTTTTGATGATTTTTGATGTGGGTATGGGTCAAATTCATGGAATTTGCTGCTGAAAAATACTTGATTATTGTAAAACCCACTGCATCTCATCAATCCCCCATGTTATAGGTGGTTGTTGGTTACACACCATGAGTTGTTGGTACACATATCACTCACAATAGTAAAACCGTATTGCTGCTCAATAATCTTAATATCATAGAGACAACTTATCTGAGATAACCATTAACCAACAGTGTTAAACATTGTCAATGTTTTGAACATCCTTTTTCTGTTGCTTTCCAGTTGGCTTCTCACCGGAGCAGGCAGGTCCCCGCGTGGCACCACGACGACCCATGAAGAAGGAGATCAAGGAGACCAAGGAGAAGGAGATCAAGGAGACGGCGGTCACCCGGTGACCACTTCATCCTGGCTGATGAGATTTTAAATGGGGATTCAATCATCATTCATAGGGGGTTTTAAACACTAAAAAAGGGTATATATATATATAATATATATATAATTATATATGAAGAAACATGCACTTAGCTTGGAACGACTGGCATGAATCATTGCCGCACACCTTCATCCATGCTTGCCGCTGCCATTTACTTTTCAATGATCTGACATAGGCCTAAAGCCATATGCTGCTACGCCTGCACCGGAAACAGCTGCTGCCGCTAGCTTTTGCAGCTGGATTTGTCAGTGGCACCGGAGCCTTACGTTTTGGGGCATTGCGCTTTTGCTTGCTGCTGCGCTTACTCCGAACTTTTGCACGGTGGACTACTTCTAGATCCTAAAGTTCCTGACCGGTGATCCACGCGGTGACCTGGCAACGTTCTTGGGGATCAAGGGTGCGGTCCTTTTGTTTTCACCATCTACAGCTGGCAAGCGCCTTAGTCTGTGGCCGGTTGAAGACTGAATTCAACCTTTTGCTGATTTTGTGTTTCATCTCCCGAAGGGGAGCCAATTCAAGTCATGGGAGATGCAGAGAGGGACCAATCTGGAGGTGCCTGGTCTCGCGTTCCAGTTTGGGACGGATCGCCACAGACGTGGCGAGCTTTCCAGAGAGAAATGAAATGGTGGACTAGCAGCCTGGACTTAGAAGGAACGAAGAAATACAACCTTGCTGCACGTTGGTTGTTGAGGCAGTCAGGCGTAGTTCGCCAAAGAGGTGAAGAGTTCAATCCAGATGAGCTTGAGTACCAGAAGGAGGTCAAAGGTGAAGATCCACAGACAGGTGACGAAGTTGTCATTACGCCTGAGGACCCGCTGAGTGGCTTGACAAAGTTGCTGAAGGCGTTAGAGGGCATCAATGGCAAAACAACACTTGACAAACGTGGAGAGCTGAGAAATTTGTTTTACTTGGAGTTGAAAAGAAAACCAGGTGAACGCATAGCTGAGTTTTGCTCCAGGTTTAGAGTTTCTCTTGCAGACCTCAGAACGGAGGGAGTGACCTTACCTTCCGGTGAAGTTGGATGGTTTTTCAAGACAAAGCTTGGTCTTGACCCGCTGCGAGTGCAACTCCTGGAAACTGCCTTGTCAGGCGCTGAGGAGTACGAGACGATCGAACGTGAAGTTCTTCGACTTTTCAAAGATCTGCATTCTCAGGATCCGTTGGTGCGCAAGTCTTTTGGAGACAGCAACAACAAGGGTGGTTCCTTGATGCAGAGGTTTTTGACTTCACAGAATCCTTCAAGCAAGCCTTCGTCCTATGCACCTTCGATGGCTAGCTCTGTGCCGAGGTCCCACAGGACTTCAACGACTTCTGGATCAAGCAGGTTCAGTGGATTTAGAAAGCCTTTCCCGGCCCGACAGGCCATGGTTTCTGAAGCAGAGGACCCTGAACCTGATGAGGAAGCAGAGCTGTTGGAAGATGAGAATGAGGCTGAACCGAACTTGGAGGACATGCTGAAAAGTGAAGCCGAAGCTCTTGCGGCTGAGTTGGATGACGCTGCAGACAACGGCGTCGATGCCTCGACCTTGCAGGAGATAGAAGAATCAGTTGAAACCGCAGCTGAAGCACTCCTCACCATGAAGGAGGCACGAACGAAGTTGCAGGAAGTGAAACGTGATCGGGGTTACCTGAAACCAGCCGATGGTACCTCGAAGAACAACCCAAAGAAGACTGCCAAGAACCCGTGTTTCGATTGCGGCCTTCCAGGACACTGGGCTGGAGACCCGGAATGTGGCAAACCTGGACAAGGCCTTGCAAGGAAGTCTTCGTTGAAGAAACCCGGCAGCCGACATGTCAAAGTGGTTGAAACTTTGAATACAGAACATGTGGATGAAGCGGAAGGTGAAAGCCATGAGGTGCTCACCGTGTCGGCTCAACCTTTGTCCCAGTCCTTTGTAGCTGCACTTGAAGATGCCCACTCCGTGACAAAAGAAGCGCTGATTGCACAGCTGGCAGAAGACAAACGTCTTGTTGGAGCTTTGGATTCGGCATGCAACAGAACATGTGCTGGACCGGATTGGTTGAAAGGGTATCTTCATGGACTTCAATCTGCACCAGAAAGCATTAGGAGCCTAGTGACCTCAAAGCCTGAGCATGAAACCTTTCGTTTTGGAAATGGCGGCACCAAGGTGTCGGACATGCGATGGAGATTGCCAACAGTGATAGGAGGGAGGCTGTTTTGCTTTTGGTGTTCGGTGGTGCCAGTTCCATCACTTGGTCTTCTACTTGGCCGTGATTTTTTGGAAAGTATTGGAGCTGATCTGTCCTTTTCACGCCGTGAACTTTGCTGTGAACGTTTGGGGGCTGAGAAGATTCAACTGAAACAGCTGGCTGCAGGACATTACCTACTGCCTTTGATTCCTGCTGCATGGCCAGGTGTGGGCTCTCAGCGTTGGCGTAGGATTGGACAAGATGGCATCATTGAGTTGCAGATGTCGACACCAGATTGGTTGAACTATTGTTTCAAGGGTCAACGTTCATTGAGGGCGGCAAAACATGACCATTTACTCACAGAACACAGTGTACATGTTGGAAATTTGGTTTGCACCGTGATGTCAAGCCCTGTTTCTGGTCCTTCGGTTCAAGCAACTTCAATGCGCTCTTCTTCTGAGCACCGTGAACCGACTCCTTCCTCTACGACCAGGACGACATCAAGGACATCTGTGAGAAATGCTAGTGCCAAAGGCCGGCGTGCAAACCGGCAGATGGCGCAGAATGTTCCTCAAGCTGAACGAGCGCATGCTGTGGGCCGCAAGAGGCGTCCTGCTCTGGCTTTTACAAAGGCCTTTCTTGCGCTTTCTGCCCTTTCCATACCCCTCGACGTCATCAACAGACAAATGGTTGGAGCAAGCGCGCAAACAGGTTTCAGCCGGGGTGATCTCAAAGCGCCACTTCAAGTTGGCGGTCGCAATGAAGCAGTTCACCATGGCCAATCTGGGAGAATGCATACACCTGAGAGGACGCATTGGCCTCAAATTGGCGTTCTGCGAGGACCCGACGGTGGAGGGCATGTTGCAAGCTCTTCCAATGAAAGGCATGGCCAACAAGATCCGAAAGGCCGTTCAAGCAGAAGCTGTGGCCGCAGCCAAACAGCTTGCCAGCGACAACAAGCGAGAAGCAGAGGCTCGGACCTTGATTGGGCCAAAGGGCGGACTTCCTTCACTACGAGGGGACCTGGTGAGACTTGCAGCCCTTCTCCAAGTGACTCTTGGAGACAAGGACACCATCGAGGTGATAAAAGAAAAGGTGAAGCCAATGGTGGCCATCCTCAAAGAGAAGCCTGTGCAGCCGACCGCTGCAAAGTCAACAGCCAAAGCCAAAGCTGCCAAGCCGAAAAGCCATCCCAAAGATGCGAGCGCTTCCTCAATGTCTTCAGAGGTGCGCCCACTGTCAGTTCTTCAAGATCAGGTGGCAAGCTTGACAGCACAGTTGGAAGCAATGAAAGCCTTGCTGCCGGAACAGCACCAAGTGCCGGTGGTGGATCTCATGGAGGTGGATGCGAAATCGGAAGTGGAGTCAATGACTTCCGAAGATTACAAGCAAGTTCAAGAAGCGATGCTGGAGGATTGCTATGGAGAAGCCCTGAGAGCACAATACGGGAACATCGACCTGGTGGATCTGACACAGGAGCAGATCGAAGCAGTGGTGGATCCATGAACTTCCCTGACTTCAATCCCTTCAGCTTGAACCAGAAGATCAAGAGCGGCCAAGCTCAGATGATTGCACAAGCCTGGCAAAAGCATGAAGCTGACCGTTTGAAAACCTCCTGGGGCCCAGCCAAGATCCGTGAGACTTTGGTTGCTGACTATGAGAATGATTTCTGGCATGCATTGACGGAAGAGACCTTCATCCAACCCATGGTCTTTGATTTTGAGTCCTTTGCGGTTTCTGACGCCAATGCAGTTGAAAAGAATTCCAAGACTTCAAAGAATGCCAAGGTTTCTGAGTATAAGCAGTTTTCCAAGAATGCCAAAGTCCCACCGAATGTCAAGGTTTCTGCGAATGACCTGGCCACAAAGAATGTCAACCGTTCTGAGCCCTGTGCAGGCTCGTCGAAGGTCAAGCCGTTTGTCACAGAGGTCTACACGAGTGCTGAGAACGTCATGAAAGAGGCCAGAAAACGTGGACACAATGTGGGGCAATCTATGTCTTTGGAAACTGGTTGGAACTTCTTGGATGCCAATGACAGGTTCAAAGCTTACAACAAGATCAGAGATGAAAAGCCTTTTTGCGTGGTTTTAGCATTTCCTTGCAATGGTTTCAGCCCTCTTCAACGTTTGAATGGACTTCATCCCGAAAGAAAAGCAGAAAGAAGGGCGATTGGTCGTGAACTCATGAAGTTTGCTTTGGAAATAGCTGAACTGCAGATCAGAGAAGGTCGACATGTCATCTTAGAAAATCCTCGAGGCAGTGAAGCTTGGAATGAACCTGAGATGTTGCGTTTTCTTGAGGAGAATGAGCTCTACGCCGCTATCTTTGACCAATGCCGTTTTGGCCTCAAAAGCCTTTCTGGTTGGTTGCACAAGAAGCCAACGAGAGTGGTGAGCTCAAGTTCAGATGTTGCTGCGGAATTGGATGGAGTGACTTGCATGCGCAACCACCCTCATGCGCCAGTTCTGGGCGGCTCTCATGTGACAGCCCGTGCGGGCATCTACCCAAAGCCTTTGGCACGCGCCATGGTTAGGGGCCTTGAGAAGCAATTTGAACGAGAGTTTGCTCCTCGTGAAGCTCTTGCTGCCGAAATTGGAGAGGATGTTGAGGAGGAGGAATTGGCTTTTGAAGGCGGTGGATTGGTGATGCCTCAAGATGATGGCAGTGACGTGGAGGACGAAGTGGATTCAAAGGGAACTGCAATTCCTGTTTCTTCTGGCATGCGCGCAACAATCCTTCGACTTCACCAGAACACTGGCCACAGATCGGGCAAAAGGTTAGCCCGAGCCCTAGCCATTGCGGGGGCACCTGCAGAAGCAATTCAGGCGGCGAAACAACTTCAATGCTCAGTTTGCCAAGAGCGACAACCACCTCGTGCCCGCCGTCCTGCTTCTCTTCCTGTGCCTCGCGACATGGGTGACCAAATCCATGTGGACTTGCTGGAAGTTTTTGACACCAGCGAGAAGAAGTATGTAGTGGCCCATGCAACTGATGCCGCTACACGGTTTCAGATGGCTGAGATTTTGCCAGACAAATCAACCAAGTCTGTGGTGCGCTTCCTTTCTACCAGATGGATTGCAACATTTGGCCCTCCGAGAGTGATGGTCGTGGACCAAGGCAGAGAATTTGTGTCTTGGGAAATGGAGGAATATGCTGGAAGCCAATCCATTCTTTTGCACCACATCGCCGTTCAGGCACCCTGGCAAAATGGAATTGCAGAGAGAAGCGGTGGAGTGTTAAAAGCCCTTTTAGCAGCCATCGTAACTTCTCAAAGTGTCCTTGGACTTGAGGACATGCAGGTAGCTCTTGCCGAGGCGACATCAGCTTACAATGGCGACATCAATGAATTGGGTGCTTCTCCTTTTCAGGCTGCCATTGGACGTCAGCCTCGAATGGTTGGAGACGTGCTGGGAGGCATACAAACAAGGCTTGCGGAGCATGGACTTATTGACTCCAAGCCTTCGCTGGCTAGACAGTTGGCCATGCGAGAAGTTGCCAAAATAGGGATGACCCGCCTTCACTTCAGCCGAAGTTTGCGGAAGGCAGAACTAGCACGATCCCGAAACCCAACCATTGAGCAGCTTCCAGAGCCTGGCACAATCTGCTACTTCTACAGGCCTTTGAAGTACAACAACAAGACAGCGCCGTCCAAGAAGAAGCTCACTCTGAAACGTTGGCATGGCCCTGCACTTCTCCTGGCCATTGAAGGCAGAAGCTCTGGATACTTGAGCTACAAGGGGCAATTGACCAAATGCGCCCTGGAGCACATTCGTGCAGCCAGCACGATGGAACAGATAGCTGCAGATTCATGGCGTGAAGCCATAGAAGAAGCTGTTGAGGCTGCCACCTTGGACTTGTCGGCCCGTGGACTTCCTTTGGCCGATGGTGGCGATGGAACTGCTGTTCAACAACCAGCTGCTGTGATGCCAATGCCTGGCACTCCTGCCTTCTTGCCCTCATCTTCAGCAGCTGCAGTTCCAGAACAAGCAATGCCGGTTGGCGACGATTTGCCTCCGGTAGCGCCTCAAGAACTTGCTGGTGCCTTGATGCCTGCCTCTGCACCAGTATCGACTGTGCCTTCCAGAAGATTGAGTGAGGCGACGTTTGAACGAGCCACTACAGATGGACTTTCGAGTGGACTCGGCGATGGACTTCGAAAACGAGCCTCAAGCTTTGCAAGCCAGTTGCAAGGCGTCATGGAACAAGCACGACGTCAACGTTTGGCAGATCCTACAGGAACCAAACGAGCTGCCGACACATCACTGGAAAGATTGAAGGCTGAATCCTCTGAGCCTCCTGTTCCTCAACCTGATGAACCTCCAGTGATCACAGCAACTTCATCTACTGAGCCTGCGGCAGAAGCATTGCAGACCACGAGAGAAGATGTTTTGTCCAGTTTGGGCGATCCTTCACTACACCCACTGCAACACATCTACAATGCTGCCTGTGAAGACAGACTCAACCCTACTGAAGTGCGTGTGAAAGATCATGGTTCTTGGGATGGCAGATGGCCTTTACCCTCAAGAACGGAATGGCATGCTCACCAACGGCTTGGACTTCCTTGGCCTTGTGGGCATGATGATCTGGTTGAAAATGACGTGATGGCAGTTCAAGCCAATCGCAAAGAATTTCACTGGCGCTCCATGAGTGATGCTGAAAAGGCTGAGTTCAAGATTGCAGCCGAACAAGCTTGGAGCGTTTGGAAGGAGAATGATGCGGTTGAAGAACTATCTCCTGAAGAATCTCAACGAGTGCGTGAGAGACTGAAGAGAGAAGGCCAGCAGGGGAAGATTCTCACCCCCAGGTACGTGTTTACCGACAAACACGAAGGCCTTCGCACTGAGCAGAACAAGTTGCCTCTCCGTGCACGAGCGCGCATTGTTGTTCCTGTGTTCAAGGACATCTTTTCAATTGGACTTCGAATGGATGCTCCTACATGTTCAAGACTGGCCCAACATTTCCTTTTGACCTTGACGGCATGTTTCAATGTTTTGGCTGTTGGAGCTGACCTTGCTTGGACTTTGCTTTCAGCCGACATCAAGTCAGCCTTCATGAAAGGAGATGCCTACATGGATGGGACCAGAGAGCTGTTCATGGAGAACATCCGAGGGGCCCTTGATGAACCTCGCTTGCCTTTTCCTGGACTTGCCAGGATACGCAAAGGAGTGTTTGGTTTGAGTGATGCGCCGAGACGTTGGTATTTGAGGTTGAACAAGTCCCTGATTCAGCAGGGATGGCAAAGAACTACACTGGACTACGCCTGTTGGGTTCTGTGGTCACCATGTGGAACGAGGTTGGATGGCGTCCTCATCTCACATGTGGATGATTTGCTTTTGGGCGGAAACCGCCGTGCTGTCGCCAAACTTCAAGAGCTTGGACGAGAATTGGGGTTTGGAAGCACCTCTGAGAAGGACATCACCTATTGTGGCAAACGTATCCGCCAATGGGATGACGGCCACATCACCATCACCATGGAGGAGTACCACAGCAACCTGAAGACAGTGAACATTCCTGTGCCTCGCCGAGCCAACCCAGACTCAGACTTGACGGAGATGGAACGACGTCAACTTCGTGCAATCCTTGGTTCACTTCAATGGCTGGTTGCTCAACTGCGATTTGATTTGGGTTTTCAGCTCAGCACCTTGCAAGGTGAACCGCCGAAGATCAGCACCCTGATGAAAGCAAATCTGCTTGTCAAGCGCTTCAAGCAGGACCCTGACTTTGCCCTGACCTTCAAGCCGATGGATTTGAAGGGAGCTGGAATCATGGTGGTAACAGATGCCAGTTTGGGGAATGTCACCAAAGCTGGCGGAGCTGATGGAACTGTGTTGGAAAAGGTGTTTAGCCAAAGCGCCTACTACGTCCTCCTGGCCGACAAGGACCTTTTGGCTGGACGAGAAGGAAGCTTCTCAGTGCTGGACGCAAGAAGCCACAGACTTCCTCGAGTATGCCGCTCTACATACGGAGCAGAGCTGCTGGGAACGGAAGAAGCATTTGATGTTGGATGTTTCTGCCGTGGCTGGTGGGCGATGTTGCAAGGCCTTCCAATTGAACACAAACGTGCTGAAGAAGTCATGGACTGCATTCCTTTGGCAGTCGTCACTGATGCACGTGATGTCTACGACAAAGGGTCTTCAGACACACCTTCCTACGGATCTCAAAAATCCCTGGCGTTCACAGTTGCCTGGATTCGTGGAGTCCTTAGCAAACCCAACACCATGCTCAAGTGGACATCGACGGAGAACCTCTTCGTGGATTGCGGGACGAAAGACATGAGCACTGAGCATGTACATAAGATTCTTAGCAGCTGCCGATGGAGCGTGACCTTCAACCAAGAGTTTGTCAAGCAGAAGCAGAAGACGAAGCCGAAGAAGCTCGCTGGCGGAAGCTGTGAGAGTCTGCTGGTAGGTAGTGCTTTGGGTGAAAACTCACCAATTTACCCATACCTAGCTCAGCTTAGTGCAAGCCCTGGATGGCACCAACGTGAAGGTGTCCTAATCAATGTGGCACGCCATGCAAAGTCTTTCAGAACTCCAGGAGCCCGTGTGGATCCTAAGAAATTTCCTTTGAGAACCACGTATGCCAGAATTGACCATCCAGACGGGAAGTCAGACTGGAGGATTTTGGAAGAAGGTACAGAATATGGCATTTTGCCAAATCCCCATGCGCTTTTGGGCACAATAGCTGGCATTTTGGTGACGGTGTATCGTTCCCAAGCTACAAATAAAGAGAAATCAACTGAAGAACCATGCATTTAGCTTGGAACGATTGGCATGACAGTTTGCCTTGCACCTGGAACCATGTGCCGCTGCCATTTTACTTTCAATGAATCTGACATAGGCCTAAAGCCATATGCTGCTACGCCTGCACCGGAAACAGCTGCTGCCGCTAGCTTTTGCAGCTGGATTTGTCAAATATCTAATTGTGACTCCAGCAAAAACTGCAGATATGAGCAAGAAAAAGAAGCAGAAATGGCAAAATGAGCATATAAATAGATGACAAAAACAATCAACCATCACCCAACTGGATCATATCTACCAAAGCCGATTTAAGATATCGAACTGGCAAGATGGATGAAACATGATGAAACGAGAGGGCAAAGTATAGCCAGGGAATGCCAGGGATCATATCGGAAACAGCAACCGTTTGAGTTGTTGAGTCGAGGAGTTCTAATCGAGCAAGATGGAATAGGACGAACAATATGGTTTATGGATGTGTATATGCAAACAATAGGGTGTTTGCATCGTAGTGGAAGTTTGTTTGCTAAAATTGGGGACATCGGCGCTGACACGTTTAAACAACGATACTGACTGTGGCGCATGAAAACAAAACAACATCGACGTTAATCCAAGGCTGCTTTATGCCTATCCACGACTTAAAGTTTTGGAGGGTTTAAGCTTTGGGACATTCATTCACATTCACCATATCAGACACCACCCACCACCATCACCACTATCATCCCACTATCCCATCATCCTCGCATCCTGTCATCACTGTGCGTTGTGCTCCTCAGTTACAAGCTGGTTTCTAAACCCAACTAATAAGTAGCATCAATTAACTATATAGATACTGAATATCTACATAGCTAGTCCCTCCAAGTACCCTTCAAAATTTTATTCGAACCCATAATTCACAAGTACTTGCAGAATTTTTGGGTAAAATTCGGAGGGTCTATAGGTACATCTACCTTAAACCCGACCCATCATTTCAGTACGTCTGACATTTTTTTGCCATCTTTGGGTTGGTATTTGATGGATTTTGATGGTGCATCTCCTTAAACCCAACAGAATGAACTTCCCAACAGTGCAACCATCTGGGCAAATTCTAGTGACCTCACTGTGACGGAACCCTGGAATCATGGTTAGTAAGGGAAATCATTCCCGTTCATGACCTTAATTCTGATTAGTGATATATTATAATTTACCCAGAAAATCCCAGAAATATATAACATTATAAAACTATTATATTATATATAATGACATCATATTCTATGTACATGATATGTATATATATATAATATATATATATACATATTTATATTGACCCAGAACCATGTCAGGTGTTGGAAGTCGTTGCCACCTGGGCCTCCAAACAAGCCTTCGTGCAGATCGCCATGAGTTCCTGGGCTGGGGTGGTGCAGGTCCGGTTCACATAGAAGGTTTGTTTTGATCTATATGTCTATATGGGATTTATTGATTTATTTATAATCATAGTGATATTTAGGATTCTATAGGATTATATTATATATATAGTATCTACAAATCTGAATATACATGTATATATATATATATATACATTATTATATACATTATAGTATCTATAATTTGTAAAAGGCTTCCATATTATCTATTGTTATGGTATAGACTGTCATAAAAGGTTCGTTTTTGTAGACACACATAGATTTATATGAAATATCTATGATTTTCTTTGATCAACATGGTTGCCCTATTGGAATTCTTGTGGATCTAAATAGCTTCTAGTTTAGCTGGCCAAGTAGTTTCTTAGGAAGTAGTTCATGGGTATACCATGCGAAGCTCAAAACATGGAAACATACAGAAATAAAACCATGTAAATGTCAATTTGTGTGTCTAGTTTTGAACAATTCTAACAATTTTCGCTTAAACATAGCCATGTGTCAATCTTACATACCCATGTTCACTGGTTAAATTATGGAATGTTCACTTGTTAAATCCCACATGTTCACTGGTTAAATCCCACATGTTCACTGGTAAACTTCCCATTTTCACTGGCAAACTTCCCAAATCTGGTAGAGTACACAGATAAAGCCTGGTAAAACCACCATGTTCACCAGTTACCCTCTGGTAAACATACAAAAAACGAACTGGAAAATCACCATGCTATTCATGGGTAAATCAAGGAACTTTCTATGGCCATGTTCAATAGCTATGTAACAAATTACCAGAGGGTAGTTTGATATTCCAAAAAGATCACCATGATATCCCCATGTTTGTAGGTTAAATCTCCATTAACCACCTAGTTATGTTTGACATAACCAGAGGCTAAAGCTGTTGTTTTCCGCCAACGAAATCGTGACAACGGTTAGGTGGATGTCCCTTTGCCACTGGCGCCATGCGTGCGGGACAGCTGGCCCTCAAGGCACCTGCAGGCCCCGCAGACCTTCAGGTCATTTAACCATCGTGCAATTAACGATCAATTCTGTCAATACATACACATTGTTGGCATGTTTTCCATAGAATTTGATCAATTTGTTTTTCTTCCATACTTGGGATATGCTGGGATACACTGAAGAATCACAGGAGACATGCTACTTGGGATTCATGCGTTTCATTGGAGGTACACTTGCAACAGTTGGTGAGACATGGTGCGACCAGCAACCGAGAAGAGGAATGTCAACCGTAAACGGTGAAACGGTGAATGTGTTGCAAGCACTGTCATCAAAGGTTCAGAGCTTTTGGGTGCTTGAACTATGTACTTCGAAGTATTTTCCCCACCTATGGGAGTAATTGCTACGTCATTACGTCATCCTTTTATGTCAATGCGCGATAGTCTCTGAATAGTCTCTCGAAGCTTCATTGATCTAGAAATTAAGCTGATCTCAGATTACTTGTGTGTATTGCAAAGATCGTTGAGCAATACCCCCTTGAAGACTGCAGTAGGGACGATCCACCTCTCCGAGGGCCTGGGAGTAACGCACGATCAAGTCATAGACGGAGTAATTTTTTTGTGCGGCTAACGGATCAAATTCAATTGCAACACTTTTTTTGAGTTCGCTTTCTGTCCACGACAGGGGGGCAGAGAGTGGAACGACCTTACCTCGGTTTGGTCAATAACCTCCTTGTCGCAGGTTGTATAGAACAGTTTAGCCGGTGCAATGCCCTAAAAGGGGCGGATAGTCGCTGGCTTCACGCAAGTTGTTTTTCAGCTTGACCTAGATCCGATTCTTCGCTCAACGGTAGTTTTCTGGCATGCACTACGTTTCCTACGTGATGACCCCGTGGCAGCTCACTTGATGGCTCCGACCACAGGCCTGCCAGCCCAGTCCGTAGGACTTTGCAGGGGAAACCCTGACGTGGTGTTTGTGGGTGTTGCTTTGTTGTTTTGATGCCATCGGTTTCCCGGGCGAAGATCGAAGTACAGATGATCTGGGGTCAAGTTTCGAAGCACAGCTAGGAAGGCTGTACAGTTTCGGTGTTGCATCCGCGGCACCTCCCTTCCTCAGCACAGGGAAGGGAAACGATGGTGGCCTCCAAACGGGGACCTTTGAAAGGGGTCCCATTCTGGAGAGCCATCGTGCCCTTGCCCGGTTTTTTTCAGTTTTGTAACCTGCCAGGTGACTGTCGACCGCTTAGGCATCCGACAGTACTACCACACCTTCACAGCCTCACAACGCAGTTTTTCAAGACCAGTATCACTGACAGTATCCCGCAGATGTGGTGATAAACCACTCGTTTCAAACATTTCCGTGCCTACTTCCCAGAGTTATAATATATATATACTGGTTGGTGGTTTGGAATATTTGTTTCCATATATTGGGAATAATAATCCCAACTGACTATCATATTTTTCAGAGGGGTTGAAACCACCAACCAGTATATATAGATGTCAAGATCAAAGTAAGAGGAAAATCCATTTTTTCAATGGTAAACAGCACAAAAACTTGTGCTTAGGGAATGAGGGAATGATCCACTGGCTAACCATCAACAAAATCATCCCGTTCCCCCAGCAACCCATCCATTCCCTACGTAAAACGCACCAGTAAGAAAAATGTTCCTCGAAATTTGTCAACCCCGTGACTGCCAGCGTGCTTTTGCTTCAGGTTTTGTGATGGTGGAGTCTCTGTCCATGATCTTTCAACGTGCCGGGGCGGTGATGGTCTATACATATACAGTATGATACATTCGGACCTTGATACCATTGTATGCATCTGTACATATTCCTCATGAATCTATTCACAGCAATAAGATAATAATAAACATATTTATCATTTTATATTATATTTTATTATAGAAGATTTTATTATATATTATTATATTATATTATATTATATTATATTATGTTATGCTACATTATATTATATTATAGTATATTATATCATTTTGTATTCTATCATATTACATTATATTGTATTATATGATATTATATTACATTATATTTATATTATAATATATTATTTCTTGTTTTATCCTATTATATTGTCTGAATTATATTGTATTACATTATATTATATACACATTGACATATATAGACTTATCTGTGCATTGCTAGAATTATGCCAAGCTTTTCCGGTGATCGCGCTACGTAATCGTCTCCAGTGGGATCCCAGGTGCTTGCGAATTTCTACTGATCGGTGTGGCCGTTTTGGTGGCCAGCAGCTTTGGTCTGGAGGGCTTGCAAGGCGCGGTCTGTGGCGCGGTGTGTGGCACGTGCTTTGGTCAAAATATTTGGGGAAAGATGGGACAATGTTAAGGAAATGTATAAATAACATGGCATAATATATTTAATATATATATATATATACAGTATATCAGTATATATATATTTATATATATATTTATATATATATATTTATATATATATATATATTTATATATATATATGTATTGTTTATATATTCAAGAGGAATATTTGGTGACCCCGAATTGACCAGATTTGCCACCAGGTTAGATTACAGGAGGGTGACCATGCTATCAATGCTATCCCCCTACCCATTTCTGGGCTTCAAAAATGAATAGAACAATACTAAATTAACGTTTTGGTGTAACAGTTTGGAGGTTAATTTTTAGGGGGAAAGGGATTACCGTATTCACCAAGACAATTTTTGTTTCCCTTTAGCCATGAGCCAGAATTGGGATACAGCCACTGTGCAGATGAAGCAAACACGGCCACTGTCAAGCAGGGGACCCCACAATCCAACGCTTCCAAATCTATTGTTCCTCTTTTAAACAAATGGATAATTTTGGGTGTATTCCCCATGGGTGGTGCATTATCATCATTATCATCATTATCGTCATTATCATCATTATCATCATTATCATCATTATCATCATTATCATCATTATCATCATTATCATCATTATCAACATTATCAACATTATCATCATTATCATTATCATCACTATCATCATTATCATCCATCTAACATCATCTAACTATAGTTATATTCGGCATACAGCCTAGTTCACCTAGATGGAGGTTTCCAAAAATGGGGGTACCCCTAAATTATCCATTTACAGTATATAGGTTTATCCCTTATAAACCATCCATTTGGGGGTACCCCCCATTTTAGGAAACCCTCATATAGTAAACTAAAGCAACTTAGCAAACGAACTGGAGCACCACATGGCAATTCCAATGTTTCAATATCTCATGTTTGCCTATTTGACCAAGGTAATTTTGTGGTATACCCATTTTTTGGATGTGCCATGATCAGAAGTTGGGTAAGTTGCCCATAGAAGGGGGATGGAAATACCCTGGCTCATCCAAGTTAGTAAGTGGATTATAACCCCAGTTTTTTCAGTGAACTAACCCTACTTAGCCCAGTTATAACCAGGGGTATAACCTACTTACTACGTGGGGATGAACCACCATGTTGGGATTTGTATGACCATACCACTTTGATCCCATGTTTACTGCCGTTGATGAATCCCCATCCCCTTGATTTTCCCCATAAAAAACAACCTCCATTGAGTGGGGAGTGTCCCAAGAATTTCACTTACCCGGCCTGGTAAACATACAAAAAACGAACTGGAAAATCACCATGCTTGTTTTAGGGGTAAATCAACGAACTTTCTATGGCAATTTTCAATATAGCTATGTTTGACATAACCAGAGGGTACTTTCCACTAACATCCCTGTTTTTTGGTTCATTGAACCCCTATAATCACCATTAAATCACCATTAAATCACCATTAAATCCCATTAAATCCCATTAAACATGGTACTTTCCTATGGTTTTTTTTTCCAAAATTGCACAAGCTCGTAATTTCGGTAGGTAACGTGACAACCCCTGACATAACTGGCGCCACAGGCCTGGGTCCAGTGGCCGTGAGCGCGTGGCTGGCGGCCGAATCCTTGTTACATCCATACAGCAGCACCAGCTGCACGGGGGGTACGGGGGATGGTTTTGTGGTGGTGCCCCAGCACGCTTCGGAACGTAATTCAGGTTTATTGTACAAATAAATATGTATGTATATTATATACACATGAGTCTGATTAAGTATGTCTAGAACTATCTAGAGCCAATGGGGGTGATATTACCTTCGAACTAGAGAATCCTTGGGTGGTTGTATCTCAAATATGTATGGGTATTTGAGTATAATTCAATAACTTCAAGACTTCAATTGTTTTTAGATACTAAGTCAATATGTGTTTGTTTTGCAGAGTAATTACTCAAGATCAACCATGCATGGGACCTGAGGAACAAGAACATATCCACTGATGAAATCCACTTCTTGAATAAGGTTCATGCTGATGTGAAGCCTAGTGCAGGAGCAACAGCAATAGGTTTACAGCAGCAAGAAAAAATCTGTTGTGAATTGATGTGACCATCAGCCAAGCATTGGGCGGTTTTCAAACATGTGTAAATCCTCGCCAAACCATGGTGTCTGGAGGGTTGACACATTAATTAACTTGCTACAATCGCATATTGTTTGATGTGTAATGTGTATTCCAGTTTCTCAACCCCAAATCAGAGTAATCGAATATCTTCTGGGAATTCAACATGGCTGGGTGGAAAATCCTTCAATTTTTACCCTCTGGTTACTTAACGTAGCTATGGAAAATGGCCCATTTACAGATGATTTGTGATGATTTTCCTATTAATTTGGTGATGTTCCACCATAGGTATCATCATAAATCATCACAAACCATCTATTTATGATGTACCCTTTCCAGTTCGCTATCTTCATTGAATAACCCGAGAGGCTCCCCCATAAAAACCAAGCGATTGCAACCAGCCGTGGGTTCATCCCCAATCTCTCCGTTGACGACCGAGGTGTGGCCACCACCACCATTTTGCATTGCTGTTTGTTGGACAAGGACGCCCCTCAGGAGCCCGGAGGGCCCGGAGGGCCCGGAGGGCCAGAGGCTGAAGATTTGATGATCCCACGGATGATCCCAGAATGCATCAAACAACACAAAACTGATCTAGTTGTGTAGGGCACTTATACATAAATCAACATAAATCCCAATTCTCTAATTATATACATATGTGTATACACATCCAATCAAACATGTGTTTTGTTGTTTTTGTTTTGGTGAATGCTTAAACATCCCAGTTGTTCTTTTAAGAACTTCAGCAACCTGCACTGGCACTTGGCGTTTTGCATCGCAGGAGGGTAAGGTTCCCCCCGAAGCTGTGCAACTTCAGCGAACAATGGAAGAACTCAGCGGAGACTTCGGCACCGCACAGTTCGCTGTGGATGTCTTTGATCTCGGAAATTTCATTGTTCGCTATGGAAAATTGCCATTTGTTTTAGATATTTTACAATAGTCAGATATATTATAGTTATTAGACAGATAATTAGATATGAAAAGACAGATATCAATCATTGTACACACGGCCCAGTTTTTTCATATTATGTTAAATTAGCGGGATGTGTGTGTTTTCATATATGTTTCTTGATGTCACATGCATGTGGCTTGGTTGGTGACGATGTGTTTTTTTTTCGAGTCTTGTTATGTTCCTATCATGTGAGTCACCAAGTAGTAATCGTGCCAACTACAAATATATATATATATATACACATACATATTACATATATATATATATAATACACAGACCCTCATTTACCAGCAAACGTCGGTGTTTATCCCAACATGTTCCTGTTTTTGCCAATGTTTCAACTACTTTGAGGGTAAGGTACATGTGTTTTGTTTGTTATCAGATAAAACACTGTAAACGGTGAATCTACGTTTGTTTGTGTTGTATCATGTATGTTGTCTTATTTACAACATCGTTCCAGCCTTCTCCAACATACAAATGTTGCTGCCACTCAGGAACAGATGGATCCTTTGTGCAACACTACCGCTGAGTTGTACTTTGCTGTGATGCGCAAACATACAAAAGCGCAGCGTAGGACGTAGGACTTGAGGGATTGAAACTGGAGCTCTTCAACCCACCCAGATCTTCCGGGCATAGAAATTTGAGTCGTTTTCGATGGAGACCTTGCAGGAAAGCAATTCGTATGTGCCATGACTTCCCAGGGAGGTGGGTGGGTTCGGGCCCCAATTCCCAAGTAGCGAACTGCAAGGAAAAATCCAAGAACTTCAACCTGCCCTTGAGTTTGCACAGATCTTTCCATGGCAGAGTTATTGCAACCCAACATCTTGTGTGGTAAGCAGGGAATAAATGCAATGAATTCATCATACTGCCCACTACCAGGGGTGGCAAAATTGCTGCAAAATCGTGTGCTTCCTATATGCCTTGATGAATCAGGGGCGAATGATCTGCACATCTTAGGCAGGTTGGGATACAGGAAGCAGTTGCTTGCGCTGAGAGTCCGGAAGAGCCAGTGGCATCAGTTGCCAGTTGAACTTGTCAAGATTAGGACATTTCAATGAGGAAAATCATGATTCAGAGGATGAAATGGGTGACCCTATTTTCAGTCCAACTCATTTGTCAACGAATGAACTTGGGAACTTGCTTCCACTTCATATTTGGGAAACATGTTTTCCCTGCAAGTGGTGAATCGCCGATGGGGGTCATTGCTGCCTTGTGGTTTCAACATGTTTCATGGCGCATTGGTTTATCGGGTGGCAACCCTCCATGTCTCAAGCCATAAAACCAGACACGTGCCGCAGGTTGACATGATTTTACCACATCCAGAGTATGTGCTCCATATTAAATTTAGAGGGTGTTTAGGTGCACGTAATGCAAGGATATATTGGATAGTTAATATATATATAATATATAATATATATAATATATAATATATATATAATATATATATAATATATAATATATATATAATATATAATATATATATAATATATAATATATATAATATAATATATATATATAATATAATATATATATATATAATATAATATAAATATATAATATAATATAATATATATATATATATATAATACATATAATATATATATATATATATATGTAATATATATAATATAATATATATATAATATATATAATATATATATATATATATTGCAAGGATATTTACCCTCTGGTAAACTAACATGACTATGGAAAATCCACCGTTTTTTAATGGGTAAATCAACTATAAATGGCCATTTTCAATAGCTATGTTTGTTTACCAGAGGGTAAATCATATATATATATATATATATGTTTCCAGGCAGAGTCCGTTGCACGAGAATGGCAATACTTGGAAGATGTTTTCGGATCATAGGTATATCACTGCTTGGATGTCCCCTGGTGGTTCGCTCTGCATTTGGTTTGATTTTAAGGGCCCCTTGCGTAGGTGCAGCTCTCTTGCGGACTGTCATTGGTTTCAGTTGTTTTTAACATGCCACGGTGTGGTGATCAGCTGCAGGGGCAACCATATTCGGTGGTCAAAAAGGCTGGAATCTATAGTTCACCCTCTTCATAATCTGATGATGATATCTGTGTCGTTTGTGAAACTGTTTGATGCTTTTCGGTGGCCGCTTGAAATGCTTCATGGATGTTGATGGTCAGGGTAGCCCCAACTGGTTGCTGCCACCCTGGAGCCTTGGAGTAGTTGAAAAAAGCGGCGCTGTTCAGCACCTGGAAGTTCCTTTTGGTCTCCATGTAGCCTTTGCTGTTAAGACTAAGAGACTCCCTGTGTTGCCATGTTGGATATGTTGGAGTATTAGAATAGAAACCTCCTGAACGTAATCTGCAGTAATGTATAGTAGATCAATAAAGACAGTACATGCATTGTAGATGGCGTATACATATAATTTTATATACATATATCATATCCATATATCATATAATTACATACATCATAAATACATATATCATATATACATATATCATATATATATATTTACATATATATATACATATATATATGTTATATAATATGTATATATATTATATATATATATAACATATATATATATATTATAACATATATATATATATACACATATATGTCATATATTATAGAGAGATATAGAGATCATGTTGAACAAACCGGTAGGACAGCACGCGGCCGCAAGCCACTTGCCAATTTGCCAATCATGTTTTTTTGTATCCAAGGATCATCCCAGTAGCTTCCCCCAATGAAACGAGTTCGACTGCAGACTCTGTTTCTATCGGAAATCAGGTAGTCAGTAGTCATAGAACCCGGTAGAATGACCAGTCGGACACCTTTCTCTAGGCCATGCTTATCATGCTTAAGATTCGCTCTAGTCAATCACCTCAAGCACTTCCTAAATTTGCACAGAAGCAAGGGGATACCCTCAAGATCCCTCAAGTAATCTACCCAAAGAGAAGGTGGTTTGGAATATATTATTGCATGCTGGATGGTGGTTTGGAACTTTTTTCCATATATTGGGAATAATCCTTTTGACGAACTCCATCATTTTTCAAGATGGTCAACCACCAACCAGCATGTATATCCAGTGGATATTTCAGAGCTTCAGTTTCTGTGTTTGATCACCGGATCCCCATTGTTTGCTGACCCTGTTCAGCTGGGGTTCCGTAGGATTGAAAGTCGAGTCCAATTTCTAGTGACTAAGGTAGAATTCCATACGTTCCAGCAGATAAACAAACATCTACCTCCATAAGGGTTGGTAAATGTGCCTCTTTCAGATTGTGGAACATCGTCTTGAAGTGATTGATTTCCCTGAGTTTTTTTTGTGAAAAAGGCTCATTTAATCACGTTGTTCTTCTATGAGTTTGATATGTTATGTACCCTCTGGTAAACTAACATAACTATGGGAAATCACCATGCTATTAATGGGAAAATCAACTATTTCTACGGTCATTTTCAATAGCTATGTAACAAATTACCAGAGGGTATATTATATTCCACTAAGATCACCATGATATCCCCATGATATCCCTATGAGTTTGATATGGTATGTAGTTTGATTTAAGTTTTGATGACTCTCTGTGCAGATCGACAGATCTCTGCATCTCTGCATTTTTTCACGGGTGATGTGTTTCTGCCGCCTAGGTGCCGAAGACATGGCGGCACGCGCCACGGAACGCTTCACGGCCCGCGTCGACCATGCAGAGGTGGGCCGGGGAAGACGGAGATGGAGAGATGGAAGACGGGGATCACAAGGGGTATAGCTCTAATCCGCATTTTTTTTCAATAAAATCACATATATAGACGTATATACATACACATTTAATACACTTTTCTATCCCCTAGGAAAATGGACATGATGGATCATTACGGCCATTTTATATTGTTTGATGATGATACTAGGGAACATGAGAAGAAATTTGATTAACTATTTGGTGGTTTTGATTTGTAGTTCTTCGGAAATACATACAATCAAGCAGAATCTTCCTCCAAAGGGGCCCCTAATACATATATTTCATAGGTTGCAACCACCAACTAGTTTTACTATATTGCTTAGTTTATTGGAACAGATTGGATCAACATTATATAATAATAATGTACTGCTTACTATACTATGATGTAGTTGTTTTTTTGTTGCTGCATATCAATTTATTCCATTTCTACACAGATTCTATGCATAGAAGTTGCGATTCCGGTATTCCCATGACATATCCCAGTTCCGGGTGTGAGGCACGAGAAACACGATATGTTTAAATGGTTTACCCTCTGGTAAACTAACATAACTATGGAAAATCACCATTTTTAATGGGTAAATCCACTATAAATGGCCATTTTCAATAGCTATGTTAAATTACCAGAGGGTACTTTCTGTAGTTCCAAAGGGATACCCTTGATGTGGTACCCATGGATCGTCACAGTCTGGCGATCGTTGACCTTGTTTTCCCAAGAAAGGTTCGACCAATTGAATTTAAATCCAAGAAATAAATATCCTCAGTTTAACTAGTAGGGATAACTATCAGTAGGGATAACTATCAGTAGAAACTACTATAACCAAGTCAATTTTGGTCCATTCGTTTGTCTTTTTGGGATTGGATTTCTCACATTTATCACCAACCAGATAGCCAGATGCTGGTGACTCAAAAACACCATGGAGTCTGCTCAGCTTCATGGAGGCTCTCGGTACCACGTGTTTTTTTTTCACATGTACTCAACATGAAGCGACTAGAGTTTAGCAGGTGCTGATTATGTTTCATATATAATTCATAATATATATTTATATTATACATATACATGCATATATATATATACTGTACATATATTATGTATATACACTTTTGTATTTAGAGACACACACAAGCAATATATATATATATATGCGGCATGGCCCACTAGCGGTTTCGAGCCTTCGAGTGGCCTGCCAGAGATACCATGAAATGATATCACCCGGATCAGATGTTTAACTGTTTCCAGATCAGACTGCATCCCCTTCACCTTCAATAATCACAACATATCATGCATCATAAGCCTTTTTGGATCTTTTTGGGACCCAATGAACAGATTCACTGCTAGACCAAGCTTTTTTTCACGCGCGTTTTCACTCACCGGCTCAGCTCTGTCACCCAAATGACGCGTAGCATGTGCTATGATGTGTTCCAACAGATGCAACATATCGGATATATCGTAAGATATTTCATGATCCTGCACACATAAAACGGGTGTCACAGTTACAGCGAACTAGCGCTATATACCAGTTGAGCATGGCGTTATATAATCCAGCTAGAACTGCTTATCAGCCCAGTTCTGATTGGCCCTCGCTGAAAACGTACAGTCGTAGAGTACCATTTAGAAGTCAAAATTGAGTGCACGCGTCGCTCGCGTCCGGCGGACCGCCCCTGGACGCCGCTGACTCGGCGGAGCATCGCGACAGGTGCGACAGTTGGGCAATTGAGTGGAACACCCGACCGATTTCCCCGCAAGCGGAAAGCGATCTACAAATAGTGGTTATATTCCATGATATTCCATGTATCTATATATATATATCC